CTAAGGAAGTTTACTGTTTTATTGAATAAAATCAGTCACATCAATTCATTTGTATTCCCTCCTACAGTCCAAGATTATCACTTCAATTGCCAACTTTCTTAACTATGGCATTTAACGAATCTTCATTAAACAACTAATCCCATCCCAAGTTTAAGAGGTACTGAAGACAAGTGGCCCCATTCTGACACTGTTCTCAGTTACAATGCTTTAATTGTAATCCAACCAGGAATTTTCTGCTATCACATAACAAGTTAGGTGGTAGGGAAGTTCCAGAGTTAATTCAATGGTTCCAAAGTCATCAAAGGCCAAATTTTTTCCATTTTTCTATTCTGGCATCCTTAGGATGTTGGCAATTATTATTTCATAGTATCCTCACAATAAGCCTGTGAGTTTCATTAAAGCTGCTGCCTAACGGTTGCCTAGTATGAAGAAAACAATTTTCTCACATGTACTTTGGAAGGCAATTTAGAAGTACCTATATAATTTTTTTTTAATGTGTATATCCTTTGATCTAGCAATTCCACTTCTAAGAATTCATCTCAGAAAATGTTAAGTGGACAAAGACAGGCATGAAGACGTTCATTACAAAATTTTTTTTAATGGTAAAAAATGAGAAACAGCCTAAAACACCCATCAATAGGGTGTGATTACTTAAATTGAGAGACTCATATATAATGGAATACAACATAGCTGTTTAACATGGAACTATGTGCAAGTTTTGTTATAACAGCAGAACTGCAAAGAGTATGTGTGTAGAAATAAATAAAAATACCTATGACACTAAAAAGGCAGCAGGGGATTCCTGGCGGTCCAGTGGTTAGGACTCTGCACTTTCTCTGCCAAGGGCCTGGGTTCCATCCCTGGTCGGGGAACTAAGATCCCATAAGTTGCAGCAAGGCCAAAAAAAAAAAGGCAACAAAAGCAAAAACAGATAAACTGGATTACATCATAATTAAAAAATTCCGTGTATCAAAAGACAATGAACAGAATGAAAAGGCAACCACAGAATGGGAGAAAATATTTGCAAATCATTTATTTAAGCCAGAATATGTAAAGAATTCCCTCAAATTAACAACAACAAAAAAAACTGTTTAAAAATAGGCAGAGGACTTGAATAGACATTTCTCCAAAGAAGACAAGCTAATGACCAATAACATATGAAAAGATGCTCAACATCACTAATCATTATGGAAATACAAATCAAAACCACAACCTCACAACCATCAGGATGACTGCTATCAAAAACAGAAGTTTTACCTCTCCGAAGAATCGACAAGACAGCAGAAATGGAGCAGAAGCAGCAGACCTTCGGCAATTTCACCTACAGCAGCGTAGGCCTTGTAGGCCGTGTCCTACAAGCAGCTGGTACAGCTGTACAGCACCCAGCTACTGCTGAACCAGGACTGCCAAGGAAGCACACCCTGCTAAAGCGCCAGTGCAAGGCCAAGAAGGAGGCACTGCCCAAGGAGCCACCTGAGGTGGCAAAGATGCACCTGGAGGACATCATCATCCTGCCTGAGATGATGGGCAGCATGGTGGGCGTCTACAAGGTCAAGGCCTTCAACCAGGTGGAATCAAGCCTGAGTTCTCAATCATCTACACAGCCAGGTTGGCATCAGGGCCACTCCTCTGGCTTCACCCCCTTCAAGTAGCCTGCTCGGCCAATAAAGTCACAGACTTCTCTTAAAAAAAAAAAAAAGAAGTTATTTTGCCAAGGATGTGAAGAAACTGCAACCTTTATGCACTGTTGATGAGAAAGTAACATGGTGAAGCCACTGTGGAAAACAGTATGATGGTTACTCAAAAATCTTCAGAGAACATACTCAAAAGAACTGAAAGCAGGGTCTCGAAGATTCACAGCAGCATTATTTACAAAAGTCAAAAAGAGGAAGCAACCCAAATGTCTATCGACAGTTAAATGTATAAACAAAATGTGGTATATATACATGCAATGTTATTCAGCCTTAGAAAGGAAGGAAATCCTGACACATTCTACAACATGGATGAAATTTGAGGACATTATGCTAAGTGAAGTAAGTCAGTCACAAAAAGACAAATATTGTATGATTCCACTTATATGAGGTGCCTAATCAAACTCAGAAACAAAAAATCAAATCCAAGGGCTGAAGGGAGGGATGGTTAAGTTGTTGTTTAATAGGTACAGTTTGTTTTTTGCAAGATAAAAAAGTTCTAAATATTGGTTGCATAACAATGTGAATATACTTAACACTACTGAGCTGTACACTTTAAAATGGTGAAGATAGGGACTCCACGCTTCCATTTCAGGGGGCAGAGGTTCCCTGGTTGGGGAACTGAGATCCCGCAAGACGTGAAGCACAGCCAAAAAAAATAAAATAAATAAACAAGATGGTTAAGATAGTAAATATTATGTGTATTTTACCAAAATTTTACCTAAATTTTAAAGTAATACCAAAATGAGAATCAAACCAAGCTATACATATCTGTAAAGAGTTCAGAAAGCACCTAACTGTTAACAGTGGTTATTTATGGAGAACACTGATGGGAAAAGAAGGGACTTCTGTTTTCTGCTCTGTATATTTCTGTATAGTTTACATTTGATCATGAACATGTATTAAGTTAATGCTTTTAATATTTAAAAATTCCACTGGATATAACTTTTAAATTAAAATTAAATTCTAAGTAGTAACAGACTTAAGTTCTCATGTCACCTTAAGTTTTACCAAGCATCCCCTCAAAAAAGCATGCCACGAGTATGTGGTTATGATCAGTTCTAATACAAATAATTAATTAGGGAAAAGATCCTGTGTCATCCAGTTAACATGAGATGGTGCTATTAGGTTTTCCCCAGAAAATGCCCGTGACACTTCCTGGCTAATAATGCCTTAATCCAAATTAGACAGAGATCTACTCTCTAGTCTTGAAATTGACAAATGTGATACAATAATATTTGGTGCCTGCATATACAAAATTCTAGCATTTTCAAACTATTCTTATCCTTCTTTCTCCCTACTTACTACTTACAGAACACCAGGCCCAAATCAGCACTTACTTTTTCAGAGGCTGATTCTCCTCCCACCCCTCACTTCAATAATGTTACAAGAGAGTTCGTGGGTGGTTAGCAAGACCCCCTTCGGAAACCAACAGCCATTCCAGAAAAATAACCGCTCACATACCAAGGGCTGCCAACAAGAGCAGCTTCCCAGCAGCATGTTTTAATAACCTTAATGAAGCAGACAGCAACTCCCTCTGTAATACAAATTCTGGTTGGAAGAAAAGATCTCCAGATTGTGGAAAAGTACAACTTAAAAAGTAAACACCACAGGCTCCAGTACAGCAGGAAAGCAAGCAGAGATTTCTAAATACAGAGCTCAATTTTAAGAGTTCACTGTACCTTATTTCTCACTATCACCACTTGCTCTGTCAAAAATAGACCTTTCCATGTCTTGATCCATTCAGGATAAGCCACAGCAGGCACAGCTTTGCTTACATAGGGCAGCCAGGTCAGAAAGGCCATACAGGGAACTGGAAAAAGCAGCCAGCAGGTTTTCTTAGGGATTATACTGCTCCAGTTTTTATCCTGCTTCCCAGCTATTTTGGTGCCAAGAAAGCTGCAGGGAGGTCTTTGCTCTGCTCTCAAAAAGCTTTTCACCAGAAAGGCTGAAGCAGTCTCAGGACTGCAACTCCCTCTGCTGCCCAATGTTTTCTTTGCATGCTGTAGCAGGTTCAATTGAATTTCAAACTCAAATATGTTAAAAGAGCTAAAGCAGCCCTTTATTTCAAAATATGACCAAAAAGGCACAAGTTCAAATGGAGTGGAACAGCTAGAATGCCAAGTTCTAAGCTAGACTGATTTCTACACTTACCGACAAATCTCCTCTGTCTCATGAAGTGATTCTTTCACTCAGTTTAAAGAAAAGTTCTGGGCTTCCCTGGTGGTGCAGTGGTTGAGTCCGCCTGCTGATGCAGGGGACACGGGTTCGTGCCCCGGTCTGGGAAGATCCCACATGCCGCGGAGCAGCTGTGCCCATGAGCCATGGCCGCTGAGCCTGCGCATCTGGAGCCTGTGCTCCGCAACAGGAGAGGCCACAACAGTAAGAGGCCCACGTACAGCAAAAAAAAAAAAAAAAAAAAAAAAAAGGAAAGTTCTGTATCTCCCTCATAGGCACTTGGAAAAGCAGGAACTGGACTTTTTGATTCTTCCTTACCTACCCTTAATAATACTGCCCATTACCAGAATTTAAGGTAGGTCTTATTCATCTTTCAAGATTCAACTTAAATAACACTTAGCATGTGGTATTAAAGCTATGTTTATCAGCCTGTTTCACTGTATATATTCAACTAATAGCAGATGCTCTATAACCATTTAACAGAATTCTAACTATAACAACCTTGAGATATTGGGGCAAGAGAGAACTGACCACATAATTTAATTAGGAAATAAGCAATTACTGGAGGAGGAACCAAAATTCTTGGAGATAAGAATAGGAGAGGTGTTTCCCCAACTAACATACTATTGTTCTGCCTAACAACAACTTACCAGTGTTGCCTGTGGGTCTTTTTCAGGTTACCAATCTCACAGTCTCCCTCCAGTTAACTCTTAACAGAGCTCCTTTTTAACAAACTTTCATTCTTTGCCTATATCCAAATACTTCTCACATTCTGATCTTAATCAGAATTCACAAAGGCCTTACACAATAACTCTAAGAGAGTGCTAAGCAAAAACTGAGCTACTATAATGTCCCCAACCTATTGTGGTTAGAAACCCTTGTGTCCCAGCATTCAGAATTAGAACTGATGATATTGGCACCATAATCTTTACTTTTGTGAACACTCCCCTTCTCCACCACCCAGTATCAGAAGATTACATGTCAGGCAGAATTCCTACTCTTTGCCTTAAGAATCTACAGATCCCAGTTCTGTGAAAAGCAAATGCCCAGGACAAGTGCCATCTTCAGAAAACCTTAAAATAAATACTAACAGCTAATGGTGCCATTGTGTAAAAACTCTCTACAACTGGATAAAAGAAAACAATGTAAATATTTTAATAAAAACAATCCCACAGCATTTATTGTCATCTGGTAATAACATAAAGGTGAGCAAAACAATATGAATAAATGCTTTAGAACTACACTTCTAACAAAGCACACCTAAAAAAACTGTATTGCCTTCTCAACAATTTCTCACTTCATTGATCATTTCTAGTTGGAGACACTTTGGAGCAGAGTAATGTTATCTCCTTTTAGCATGATCCGACCTGCAACACAAAATTAAAAAAAAAAAAAAAGCTATTAATAGCCACTCAGACTACTTTGTAACCACCTTTTAGCCTCAGAATTTCATATCATTCTTGAGTGATTTTGAAAATGCTTTCTCTCTTGAGAAGGTATGTGACATTTTCCAATATTCATATATTGAAAGGTTGTGCATATCAGACCATGTGCACTTTTCCAACAATAACATAATGAAGGTAGAGAAATGTTATTTTACAAAAAGTAGTTTCTGTAGACTAAGTCAACTACCCCAACATTTCCTAATGCTCCAAGTTTGTAGAAGTTGAGAAATTGGTTTTTTTTAGGAAATGCAGCATATTTACTATAATCCCTTTCTTAGTTTTTTTTTTTAAACATCTTTATTGGAGTATAATTGCTTTACAATGGTGTGTTAGTTTCTGCTTTATAACAAAGTGAATCAGTTATACATATACATATGTTCCCATATCTCTTCTACAATTCTTAATAGATTTCATCCTGTGGTACACAAATTTGTTTAAGTTTTACCTAACATTTTCTAAACTTATTTGAGCAGAGAATACTTTTTTCCTGAGAAATATCTATAAATATCTTCAGGAACACTGGTGTTCAGTAAAACAGTTTGAGAAATTCTAATCAACACCAATAGCAATTAAATTGTTTCACTTTCCCAGGCTTCTACAACAGGTAATATTAATCTGTTCTACAGGGTGGATATTACCATGGGAAATCAACATTTTGCAAATAATTTATAAATAACATCAATAAGGTTAGCTTGGCCTTCCTGGCAAGACATGTTTAAATTCGAAAAATCCAGGCTTTCACAAAAATAGCCTAAGCAGGAAAAAGCAAAGCCAAACATTATACCACTCCTTAGAATCTACTTTCCACAGAGCTAGTATAGGCTCAAGAGAATCCTCAAGGACTGGAAGAAAGAGGCACCTGAAACCCACCACTGATAAAAATACTAGTGAGCTCTGAAGTGGGGCATTAAACAATTAAAGACAAAATGTCTAAATAAACCTCAAGTTAATGGAGTTTTAACAGAAATGATTCAGTAGGTCTTGATGAAGCCATGAATCCTAAAGAACGTGGGTTAATAAACTGCCTTCACTGTTCAAATATTTTAAAATTTCTACTACGTGGCATGCACTGAGTTAGGCACTGAGCATATTAGGGAGCAAAAAAGACAGGACTCATGCACTAATGGAGCATGTGGTCCAGTGGCAAAGACATTAATAATCCCAGTAATGAATATTTTACTACAAACTCAGCATAGCACACCCTCCATCAATCCCCACCCCAAGCAAAACCAAACCAAACCCTGGCAGGAAGTGACATTTGGTCTGAGTCCCAAGAAACAGGTAACAGCATATACAAAGATTTATGATGGGACAAATGTACAGATTCCAAGAATTGAAAGAAGTGTGGGTGAAGCTCAGAATATGAAGTGCAAAGTGATACAAAATGAGCAGAGGGAGGTAAGGCCAGATCATGAAGGACCCTGAAGGATACATTAAAGATTTCCTTATCCTATGAGCAATAAGAAGCCATTGAAGGCTTTCTAGCAAAGAGATAACAAGTTCAGATTGGTGTTTTAAATAAAAGATGACAGGAGCCTGCAGAGCAAACTGGAGGGAGCTGAGGTAGTTGCAGAGAAATTTATTAGCAAACTGAATAGAACTGGTGCCATTCAGCATGGCAGGGAACACTAAAACTGCTCTAAACAGTGTGTGAGGGGTTGGAACTGAGTTTGATTTCTGATATGCTAACTTTGAGGAGCCTTTGAGACATCCAAGTAGAAATGTTGAATAGGCTCAGAGAGGTCTAGAGCTACAAACGTAAATTTGGAAGTCAACATATAAATGTAATTTAAGGTGCAGTCTTGAGTGCCTAGGAAAATAATACTGAGTGACAGAAGGACGTAGAACCAAGACTTGAGCAACTCAAACAGTTAATGGCTGGGTCCTAAAGAATGAATATATAAAAGTCTGAAAAAGGAACAACTAGTAATGAAAAGCAAAAACCTGACTATAGTACCACAGAGCCAAATGCTGCTTAGAGCGCAATAAAATGAGGACCATTCGATTTAACACCATTAGTCTTTGGTAACCTTTGTGAGAGCTCTCTGAGTGGAGAGACAAAAGCAAAAATGGAGTGGGGTAAAGAATAAGTGGCAAAGGATGATTTCAAGAGTATATTTCTCTCCCAAATAATAACTTCTCAAATGCAAACTAAATTTAAACGTGAAATGAGTTGCAATTCAATTCTGTAAGTGAATAAAAATTTCTACAATTCTTTAAGGCCATCTATAGTCTTACCCAGTTGTTTTCTTGACTTTGTTTTAGAATGAATTTCTTCTGCATCATCTAATACGAGGTTCATATACTCATCAAAACCCTAGAAAAATAAGCCAATTGACTGTCATCTTCACATAAGATCATATCCAAACCATTCTAAATGAAAATGGCTATATATAGAGATGCTAACTTCAGAAACTCACCTCTCCACTGATCTTTTAGCTGAAACACCACCTCCCCGTCCTAAGCCTTGTTTTTTTTTTTTTTTTGGCCATGCTGCACGGCTTGCAGGATCTCAATTCCCCGACCAGGGACTGAACCCAGGCCATGGCAGTGAAAGCTCAGAACCCTAACCATTAGGCCACCAGGAAACTCCCTAAGCCTCTTTTTAAATAAAGGAAGATGGAATGTACTTCACATTACTTCTGGAACCTTTGGGACTTAAGATTTCATTAACTATGCCAAAGAGCCATTTCCCTTATCTTTTATAACGTGCTCAATATAGTGTGTGTACATATATGAATTAATTCTTCCCATGTTCCCCACAAGACACTACCACCACCAACCACCGTGCTTGTTTTCTAACTAGTAAACAGGGAAGGGGAGATTATTGATGGAATCTACACTGTCTAAAAGAAATACCAGAGTCGTAGCATAACACTTCCATCCATATCTTCCTTTTTAAAAACATTATTTAGGCTATTCTGCCATCCTGGACATCTTATTTAACTAACCCCACCCAGTTCTATTCAGGTATCACCTAACCCAGAACTAATACTCCATTAATCCCATCTCCCCGGCCCCATTTTATTTCTTTTGACCCCTCCTTTAAGGACTAATACTGTTGTTTAAATAATTTTCCCTCTCTTTTATGAATTACATAATCCCTATCAAGCAAAACAATGAGACAAGGACAGTGGGTCCTGAAGAACTTTCCGTGGGTTGGGTCTTTGACTTTTTGTATATTGCTCTGCTATCTTTTGGTAAGTCTTTTTCTATAAACAAACTGCTCTGAGATAAAATATCTTGGGTACTCACAATGATACAGCCCTCTATCCGCATATTCACTTGCTCATAAAGCCACACCTGAATCCGAGATCTCTGAAATAATCAACAAAAATAGAAATGTTAAGAAATAAGTAAATAAAATCCAACCACTTTGGTCAAACAACAGACAACCATGGCTCCTAAAAAAACCTTAACAAATAAAAGCCAAGACTAGTTACTTATCAAGAAACATTCTCACTTAATAAATATATTGGAACTAAGTTAATAATTTTCCTGTGAACTTAGAACTCAATCATATTTCCACTGCTTCTAGTCTCTATACATTTAAAGTGAAAATTTGTGACAGGATAGCATTTAAAAGGGCTTCTTTCTTATCTCCTATAGCAAAATCCAGCTCCAAGACAGTTTTCTCTAGGTACTCAGTTCTCCATGTCTCACACCTAATAACCAGGAGGGGGACTCTCAATTCCTGTGATTAAAAATTACAAGAGCTTGATATTAATCTGTTTTTCAATTGTGTTGTCACACACTAAAGTTTGTCAGAACAACAGGAGCCACATTTTCTTTCAGAGATAACTTAAATACTCCGCCTTGTCAAGTCAAATTTTGAATTGCTAAAACTCCCCTCAAAGGAAAGAAGGCTGCCACTAAATCCTCTAAACCTATCCTTCCTGTCTTCCTTTTTTTGGGTCTTTTCTATAAATATGTGTCCCCCACCCCGCAAAGTGCTAAACACACCACTTTATGACCTAGTTTAAAGCCGACTGAATTTTTCTTCCAGTGTCTCATCCTAAAGGGAAGGGGGAAAGGTTCCAATGTTCTGGCCATACCCACTGCAACAAAAGTACCCAATTACCACTGTCATGTCAACCAATAATTACTTTTTGAAATTAGTAATTTTGGTCTTGTAGAGTAATTACGACACAATTCTTTGCATGCTTGGAGTTGGCATGGTTACACACCATTTTAACACATTAGAGCTTTCCCAGCACTCCTTCCCCTCAAATACTCTCACAATCTCCAGTTTCATCTACATTTAACTCTAGAACAATGATCAGACAGGATGAAACAAACAGACAAATAAATTCACCTTTAACTTAAAAAGTAATTATGAAACAGTTAACAACAAACAACTTACATTTTGCAAGTATCTGAAGATGAGATTCTGCAGCAGTAGTTAAGGAAAAAATACACGCATAGCATAGACTCTGCTTCCTGGAACTGGTCAACCCTACCCCCATCTCACTTTTCTGAACGCGACGTCTGTGCCTATGCAAAGTGCCCAACTAGGCACCCATTTGGGGCTCCCTAAACACTGTAAACGAATCCCCTCCCACTCTCATTCTCCTGGAGTTTCTTCGGCGCCGACATCTTCCTCAGGCACGAGACCGGTAACTCCCGCTTTCACTGAGTACTTAACTAAGGTTGTCTTCCAACAGCTCACCCCCGCCATTCTTGCATTTCCCACCGCAGGGGTCGGCCAAGCCCACCTCCCACCTGTAATTGCTTCTTCAACTACCCGCGCTTTCTCCCAGTCTCGGCCGCCCCAGGGGCTCATGGGATGAGGGGCCGGACTCCGCTCCCTCTGGCCTGCTCCGTCTGCTCCTTCGCCCCCCATTTCCTGACCCGAACCTCCTCCTTCTCACATCCCGAGTAGGATACGATTGGCTGCACCATCACCTTCTGCACCTTCTGGCCCTGGCCTCGGTACGCCATGGTGGAAGCTCACAAAGACCACACTATCCCGCACACTACCTCAAAAAGCAACTTCCGGAATAAAGAGCCGGAAGCGGAAGTGCATGGTGCTCGCGGGGCGACCTGGGAGGCTCCTGGGAAATACCTCTCTAGCCACGGGCTCCGCTTATCTCGGTGCTTTGTAGCAACTGGGGCGACTGCATTTTGGAACGTGGGTTAGTCCTACAGCGCCACCTGAAGGGAGGCTGGAGGTGGAGCCTAGCGGCTTCGGTTGTGCCTCGGCTGCCGGGAGGCGGTGCACAGCGCTTGGCCATCGCGACTTCGTTTTCTGAGTCGGCTTTAAGAGCCAGATCGTCCCCTTGCGTACCTCTGTCTGTGAAATAGGTTGGTTTAGTGCTTTTTCTGAGGCCTGTTTCCCTGGAATTTAGGCTTGATAGCAGCGTTGTGGTGGACAGGGTAGGGCCGCAAGAAGCCCAAACTCAGGGCTCCCACAGCTGACACTTTCGGCCACAGCAATCCGAATTCAATAGCCAGATGCTCTGGTTTGCTCCAGTAACCGATTCAACTCTCATCAACTTTGTGAGGAGTTAATTGTAAGGTGGCAACAGAAGATCTATGTAGCATGAAAACCCTGAAGTCTGATTTCTGGCTTCAAATCTGGCACTGTTATAGTTTGTGACCAAGAATAAGTTATTCAGCCTTGGACTTCACTGGTGGCGCAGTGGTTGAGAATCCGCCTGCCAATGCAGGGGACACGGGTTCGAGCCCTGGCCCGGGAAGATCCCACATCCTGCGGAACAACTAAGCCCGTGTGCCACAACTACTGAGCCTGCGCTCTAGAGCCTGCAAGCCACAACTACTGAGTCTGCGTGCTGCAACTACTGAAGCCCGCGAGCCTAGAGCCCCGGCTCTGCAACAGGAGAAGCCACCGCAGTGAGAAGCCCGCGCACCGCAATGGAGAGCAGCCCCTGCTCGCCACAACCAGAGAAAGCCCACGTACGGCAATGAAGAGCCAACGCAGCCAAAAATAAAATAAATGCATAAATTTATTTTAAAAAAAGTTATTCAGCCTTGCCATGTCTTGGCTTAGTTGTTACCAAAGTGGAGATAACAATGTTCCTTCGGGGGCTTCCCTGGTGGCGCGGGGGTTTAAGACTCCGGGCTCCCAATGCAGGGGGCGCGGCTTTGATCCCTGGTCAGGGAACTAGATCCCACATGCATGCCGCAACTAAGAGTTCGCATGCCACAACTAAGGAGCCCGCTGGCCACAGCTAAGACCTGGCACAACCAAAAAAGAAAGTTCTTTCCTCATGGAGTTAAAGATTCAATGAAGTAGTAGTATACATGTGTACACATTAAGGTCTCAATGTTTGACCTTTTCTTTTCCTGGGTAACACAGCTGGAAGGGGAGGAGTTGGAATTTGTTAGGGTATGTTGTGGGCTGGCAGAAATTTCATTTAATTGGAATACCCATTTTATAGACAAGGAAACTGAAGCTCAGAGTTGAAGGGGCTCGTCAAAGGGGACACCACGTAGGGCAAGTAGCAAAATCTTAACTTGTTTAACTGAGGTTGTTACCAAACCAAACTTAGGTCCACTCAGCGGAGGAGCAGTAAAGCCAAGCGGTTGACGCTGGTTTGTGATGAAGGAAAGTACAGTGTTTATTGTGAGGCCAAGCGAGGGGAACAGGCAGCTCACGTTCAAAAGACCCGAACTCCCCAGTGGCTTTTAGGAAAGGATTTTTAAAGACAAAGTAAGGGAGAGGCTTGCAGGTACATGATCAGCTCATGCACAATTCTCTGGGTGTTGAGGTAACCACGTGAGGTCACAGGGGTCAGCATTATCAATCCTCAGGCTCCAAGTGGTCTGGAGGCTAGGTGTTTATGGTCAAGATGCAGTTAGCTTCTTAGTTGTTTTGGTATCTGAAAAACAACTCAAGGATATGGCTCAGGATATTATCTATAGCCCTTGACTTTGTTTTATGGCTAAACTATCATGATTTTGTCTTGTTTGACTGTTTTCCTTTGTTTCTGCATTTTCTCACTTCTCTGATTAAATTTACTCTTAGAAACTCAGGGAAGTCCTAGGAGGTTAAAGCTTTTCTATAAACAAGAGGCAGGAGATACAAGGGGGTCTGTCCCCTGGAAGGCCTTGCAGGGTCCTGCTCAGTTTCAAGGCCTTCTGTTTAATGAGGATAATATTAATGGCAACCTCATAAAAATGTGAGATCAAAGGATATGAAAGTGATTTTTTAAAAAGGGCTAGATGGGACTTCCCTTGTGGCACAGTGGATAAGACTCCATGCTCCCAATGCTGGGGGCCCGGGTTCAAACCCTGGTCAGGGAACTAGATCCCACATGCATGCTGCAACTAAGAGGTCACATACTGCAAATAAGGAACTGGAGAGCCACAACTCAGGAGTCTGCCTGCCACAACTAAGACCCAGTACAACCAAATAAATAAAAATAAAAAAAGAGAGAGCTAGAAAACACACGGAATAATTATTTCTTTTTAATCAGCCCCCCCCAAACCAAATAGAGGGTCATGATGTGCGTGGAGTAAAGTTGAGATTTGCTGAATTTGAAGACAGTGTGACTAGAACACACCAGTATACCTAGCCCATCTCATATGTAGAGATACTTAGCTACTTGTTTTTGCATTTTCCTGTTTCTGAAGTCATGATTTCTAAACTTTTAAGGATTGATCTCTATAACCAATCATTTGACTGATTATACAACTCAAATCTTTGATCCATCTAGAATTTATCCCAGTATATCCTAGAACTGATACAATTTTAAAATTTTCTAGGTGGCTACCCAGTTGTCCATCACTATTACAAAAAAATAATCCTTTGTTCCTCATTCAATTTTAAATTCCACTTTTATGATATACCAAGTGTATGTGTGTGTGTAGGTATGTGTTTTTATGTATAGCATTTATATTTTGTTCAGTTGATCTTAGTGTCTATTTATAGACTAGTATCACTGTTATAAGTTTTGTAGCTTTATAATGTTTTCTTATTTGCTAGGACTAGAATTACATAGAATTTTCCTAGTTATTCTGGTTTTTCTTTAAAACTTTAGAATAAACTTATCTAATTTAAAAAAATCTTCTTGGTATTTTTACTGTGATTACATTAAATCTAGAACAACTTAGAATTCTTTTTCTTTTTTTTTCTTGCAGTACGCGGGCCTCTCACTGTTGTGGCCTCTCCCGTTGCGGAGCACAGGCTCTGGATGCGCAGGCTCAGAGGCCATGGCTCATGGGCCCAGCCGCTCAGCGGCACGTGGGATCTTCCCGGACCGGGGCACGAACCCGAGTCCCCTGCATTGGCAGGCGGACTCTCAACCACTGCGCCACCAGGGAAGCCCCGTAGAATTAATTTTTAAAAATCTAAGTACATGATGGCTTTCTATTTGTTCAAATTTTCCTTTGAGTCTTTGAGAAGTTTTTAATTTTCTGTAGTTTTTAGTTTCTTCTTTCTAGTTCATCCAGTTTAATCATAGATATTTCATCTCTCTTGGACTGAAAAATTGTCTTTTATTCAATTGTATGCTCTAACTGGTTTTTAAAGAAAAGTAATACATTCAATTATATAAAAATTATAAAGTTTTGCATCACTAAAAAGCCACCATAATAAGCAAAATGAGAAGATCTGGGAAAAGTATGTTTGTACCACATCAGAAAAGTGGGTGATTTTACTAATATATAAAGAACTCGAAAAAAAAAAAATGCTGTGCAAGAAATATTCCAAAACTTAATGGCTTAAAACAGCATACTTTTTTTTTTTTTTTTTTTTTAATTTGTGACCTTTGTGGGTCAAGAGTTAGGGCAGGGATCAGCTGGGTGATTTTTCTGCTTCAGATGGTCTAAGGCCTTGGCATGTGTATTTAGAAGGCTAGCCCCACCTGAGTCAGTCTCCATGTCTATATAGCCTCAGGGCCTCACCTCATGGTCTCTCTGGCAGAGGAATATGCTTTATTATACGGGGGCCCAAGGCTCTAAGAAGCCAAAGCTGAAGCTAACAGTACCCTTTAAGACCAGGCCTGGAACTAGTATAATATTCACACCCCAGGCCAGGTTCAAGGGCTGGAAAAATAGAGCCCAACTCTTTATTGGAGGTGTATTAAAGAATTTGCAGCCATTTCTAATCTGACACAAAGACCCAAAATAAAAATTGGCAATGGATATGAACAATCAGTTTTATAGCAAAGGAAATACAAATGGTCTTCAAAGGTATGAAAAGAGGTCAAACTTCACTCATTATAAAAGAAATGCAAACTAAACTATACTGAGAAATCATTTTCTCTCACTAGGTTGGCAAAGATCAAAAACTGGTGGTAATATACCTTATTAAGCTCCAATTCTAGACACTTAATCATACAAACTTACATGTGTGAAATAATATAGTCATTGCAGCATTGTTTAAAATACCAAGATGGGAAACAACCTAAATGTCTGTCAATAGGAACTAGCTCAATTATTGCATGTTCATATAGTGTAACACTACGCAACTATAATAAAAATTGCAGTTCTTTGTGTCCTGTTATGAAAAGATATCCAATATACAGTAAGAGAAAAAGTAAGCTATGATACATTTCAGATTAACTTCAGAATAATTTAGTGGAGCCAGCAGAGCTGGATCTCAGATGGGGCAAGCCTAAGGAATAAAATTTTATGAGTCACACTTGCATGTACAAGTACAACCCTGAGAGTGAGCACTTCCTTAAATTATGCCCAGGTACCTTGCTTGCCTCACCCTAGCCCCAGTCCTGGGGGCCAGAATAGGGGATGGATAGCTGGTATGGGTATAGGTGAAACAGGATTTGTCATGAATTTGTAATTCATAATTTAAAACTGTTCATAATAAATATAATAAAAGCAAGGTGCAGGATATCACGTTTTATATATAATATTATATAGAAGTATATTTGTTTATATGTGCCTAAAATATCTGTAGAATACCTGAGAAACTGAGAACATTGGTTTTGGAGAAGTGGGTAGCTGGGGCAGGAGTAGGAGGGAGGATTTTTACTGTATACCCTTATACACATTTTGAAGTTTGAAACTTGTGAATGAATATCACCAATTCAATGAATTTATTAGATAGTGGAAAGTACTATGACATGTTTCCCTTTTTTTGTTCCAACTAATCATAATGTTCTTGTAAAATTTGAGATTTTCATGACATTCCCAAGGTATCTGCAAATGGCTGGTACAGAGACATACCCTGAGAATCACTGGTCCAAAGGGACATATCCTGAGAAGAGTCACCTCCAGGCCTTCTGAATATTGAAGAACATCCTTCCTCTCAGCTTAAAGTTTCTTGCATATCAACCAGGAGCCTCAAAACTTGCTGAATGAAGCATGACAAAGAATGGGGTTGGGAAGAGACAGGGGCAGCCTAACAAAGATCAACAGCCCTTGAAATGGGCAGCAAGTATTTATTGAATGCTTTCTGTTATTTTCCGAAGTGTGCCCCCCAAAATTCATGTGTTGAAGCTCTAAACCCCCAGTACCTCTAGAATGTGACTATTTGGAAATAGGCCCTTAAAGAGGAAATTAAGGTTAAATGAGGTCATATGGGTGGGCCCTAATCCAAGGTGACTAGTGTCCTTCTACCGAGAGATTAAAATACAGACATGTATATGCAGAGGGAAGGCCATGCCTCATGTGAGGACACAGTGAGAAGGGGAACATCTGCAAACCAAAGAGAAAGGACTCAGAAGAACCCAAACTAGCCAACACCATGATCTTGGAATTCTAGCACCCACAACTGTGAGAAAATACATTTATGTTGTTTAAGCCACCCAGGCTGTGGTATGTTGTTTCGGCCCTAACAAACTAATATACCTTCTATGTGCCAGACTTGTACTAGCTGCTGAGAATATATAGGTTAGTAAGAATCTCTATCTCAAGGAGTTTATACTCTGCTGATGGAGAGGTAAACAATTTCAAAACAATGAGGGTAAACAAAGAGTATATGTCTAGTAGACAGGCACCAGAGCCCAGTTTGGGGAGAGGGAGAACAGGGTATTGGGAGAGGTAACCTGGAAGTCATGGAGTGTGTAGGAATCAGCCAATGAAAAGAGGAGAAAAGAGACCTTTAAATAGAGGACAGCATTAACAAAGGCAAACAGCTAGAGACAGATTGGTGTATAAGCGAAGTCGACTGTCAGTAATTTTGCTAGTGTAGAGCATGAAGGGTGAGTGATGGAAGAGGCTGGTACAACATGCTATTCTAAGGGACTTTAATTTTGGAGGGAAGGGGAAGGCACAGGAGGATTTCATGAAACACAGTGACTCAGATTCACATTTAAAATAGATCCTTCTTTCTTTGTAAAAGACCAGTTTATTCCTTAGCCAAGAACAGCTGACAGCAAACTGAGCAAGAATGAGACAAGACAGACTCTGAGAATACCAACGGGATTGTCAGAGGTCACTAAAAACAAACCTTACCTGCTCAATTTGGCTTTGTTTGCAGCTCAAATCATCTCCTTTGCTAAGCTACACAAAACTCCAGATCTAACACCTCAAGGAAAACTTCCCTGATCAGTCTTGAACTCATTGATTTCTCACTCATCCCCTTTATAGACAGCATCATCTATTTATTACTTGTACCCATTTCACTCTTGTTACTTTATCCTTAAAAGTATTTCAAAGGCAGGAGTTTACCTTAATCTATCCCTAGTGGCCAGCAGTGTTTAATGATGGTTAGAATTCATAATGTTCTAATTTGAGCCTCTTCAAGGGAAGGCAGTCCAAAACACTTTGCGGCAGTAACATATTTCACATTTCCTTACAGTTTTTCTAAACTTGACTACCTTCCTTGACCTCTCAACCTAAATAAGTGACCTCACTAATCAAATACACCTACCAGGGAAGGGTTCCTTCTTATTTAGCTTCTCCATCCCCTTGAAATTTCTCCTCCTCCTTTGAGTGTTCTTGATCCATCCAATGTCCTATTTCAGTCATTTGTCTATTCAACAAACAGCAGTCTTTTTTTTTTTTTTGGCCGCGCCATGCAGGATCTTCGTTCCCCAGCCAGGGATTGAACCCACGCCCCATACAGTGGAAGCGCGGAATCTTAACCACTGAATTGCCTGGGAAGTCCCACAGTAGTCTTTTACTTAATCATTTTTCCTCCTCTGCATTCTTCAGTCTGAATATCGGGTGTTTACACCCTTAACTCAGTAGGCTATTGCTTTACTCCTATCTGAACACAAATCAGTCACAGAATCTAAAGACCAAAAAGCCCAGGAACAGGCATTACCAAGTTTTAATCCACTGTTGCTCATCACGATTGACTCAGACTGCAACACTTTCCCAATTAAATCCAACCAAACTTTACTAATAGGCCCACTCAGTAAATTTTATGACTCCTATTTTTTAAAATATAAAATTTTAATTGCTGTTCTTATTTATGGCCATTGTTTATGCTGTCAATTTTATTGTACAATGTTAAGAAAATGGTTGGGGCTTTCCTGGTGGCACGGTGGTTGGGAGTCTGCCTGCTAATGCAGGGCACGCGGGTTCGAGCCCTGGTCTGGGAGGATCCCATATGCCGCGGAGCAACTAGGCCCGTGAGCCACAATTGCTGAGCCTGTGCGTCTGGAGCCTGTGCTCCGCAACAAGAGAGGCCGTGATAGTGAGAGGCCCGCGCACCGCGATGAAGAGTGGCCCCCGCTTGCCACAACTAGAGAAAGCCCCCGCACAGAAACGAAGACCCAACACAGCAAAAATAATTAATTAAAAACAAAAGTACCAATGCCACCGTGGATGTGAGGATTAAATTAGTCAATGCTTAAAAAAAAAAAAAGAAAAGAAAATGGCCAAGTATTTTGTGTTGATGCCTCTAACATTTTGCAATTCATATAAATTAGTTTGGAGAATAAATTATTAATGCAGTTAGATGTGTAGGTTGTGGAAACTTCCACAGACTTACTGAGCAGCTTTCAAAGACCAGATTTAAGAAAAAAAGAGTTCTTGAAAGGTTCAACGAATCAAACCCAACTGCACATAAAAATATACTTTCTTACTGTTATATCTGAACACACTGATTCTGACACTCCAGTGGAGATAAAAAGCAGTAATCTTCCAAGGCAGTGTAGGATTTAGTGTCAAAATGGATATGTGAATTAAGAGGCACATAATTAAGTACTCAATATATGTTAGCTACTTTAGAGTGGTGTTACATAGCAACTGGAGACTACACAGTTCCTGTTGGTTCCTGACAAATTCAAAGCAAATATTTTAAAGAACTGCAGAAATATTCTGCAAAATGAAGCCACAATTTTAGAAAAGGATCATAGAACTTTGATCAATATAGAGAACAAGCTTTATTTCTGAAACTGTAATTAAACATCGACCAAAGATTGGTTGAGATGAAAACAAACTATGTTCTGGTCGTATGTGAGAGGATCCACTGGAACTTGAGGTTAAGGCCAGAACTTTAAGGATCATTTATTGAGACAAATACATGAGCTGCAAATTATCTTGAAAGTTCTGGCTATGCTATGACCAAGTTCTACAACATTTGGGCCCTTTTCCTGTTAAAACTGAAAACCATCATCACTCAAAACTGAACAATCGGTTCTGCTTTCTGTGAAAAGCTGACTCAACTTTTTGGGGACTACTTTTAGACTATTTGGGAAAATCTATACTCTCTGGTAAATTATAAAATTTATATGTATTCCCATAACAAAAAACTGGACTTTCCTGAAGTAAAAATTTTATATGCCTTCATGCTTGAAAATTCTAAATTGTTGGAACCATCTAAGATCACTTCTAAACCCTCTCTCCTTTAAAAAAATTAATGACATTACTCGAGTTACAATGCTAATGGCTAAGTATCAGTGTCAGAAAAAATCCTCACATATAATAGTATTTATTCTTACCTAAAGCAAATGCAACTAAAACTGAGCATACTTGTGGAGAAGTCTGGCAGTATGTCTCTGTAAAAGGTTTCTAAAGACCAATAGTATCTGTGAAACTGGGCCTCTATTGAGGCAGATCCCAGGCTGAAGTGATGTACGACTACTTAACTCATAACAGCAAGACTTTCCTACACCAGCTTTATTTAAAACACAAATAAAGTATTTCTCTTTCTGTAATGGCAAATGGTTCAAATAATGCTGAAAATGAATCATTGACTAATACAGGGCTTTAAATATGAAACAAAATTTTTAAAAAAGCAAAAGAATAAAGGTTATATACAAAAGGGACCTGGAATCTACAAGCCGATTCCAAAAATGAAATGAGTAGAAAATTTGCGGTGAAACCAGAACATTCCACCCTTGCTTTGGAGAAGGGCTATTAGATAACATTCAGTCAGCTGAAGATGGATTGGTAGAGAAGTGTCTGTACATAAATTTCAAGTCAGTTTTGCTTGTGTAGAATCATCCAGATCTTCCCAAAACTGAATGGGCAATCCTGTGGCTTTCTTCCTTTTCCATATTCCCAAAAACGCTACATGAAGTTCAACTCTTGATGAGCCGCTTACAACAGCAGTTCCTTAGGAGCCAACATGACAGGTGGGTCAGATTTCCCTATGAGAAACAAAACCAGCCACCTATAGCAAAATATCAAAATGGGCAGGTCCTTTCCTCTTCCTTCTGATTATGCACAGTATGTCTCCTTTCAAGACTATTATTCCCATCATACTTGTTCCTTCACAGTCTAAACCTTGAGGTGATATGAAGGACACCAACATCAAGAAAAGAAAATTCAATTCGGAAATGAAGAAAACTGGAAGGTATACAATACACCCCCAGAGCATCTTGATAATCCCTGCTACTGTACAATTCAGCATACTGCTACAGTCCATAGATAAATAATGGCAGCTTGAATGAGTTCATTTCCGCCCCCCTCAGGTGTTTAAAGGGCACCAAATAAATACTGGGCAAGAGGAGTTTGCTAGGAGAATTAGAAATTAAAAGTTAACCAATTTTTATCCCTGTGATAATTCAATGCTAGTAAGGTGGCAAGTACTGAAGAAGAGAAGGGACAACTTTCTTACTAAAAAATAAATTCCTGTAATCATTATGTCACCATCTCTTATTAAGAATCCAAGGAATCCCAGAAATAGAAAATTAGTTTCAGAGGACCCCTGAGGCACTTTAAAGCCTTAAAAACTTACAGTAATAATAAATCAGCTATTGCTCTTCAGAGGCTTACAGAGCAGTAGAAGCATGAAAATCACATCCAAAAAGTTATGTCCAGATTACAGGTTTCCTGAGCTGCTCAGCTGTCTCTAGAGGCTTAGTTGAATTTTCCAAATACCTTTAAAAAGACGTACAATTTAACACAGACTGAGTGGATTTTTTTGTTTAGTGGTGGCATGAAATTTGGTCCTTAATGGTAGCAGCTGTCTTCATCCTTTTCAAACTCAGGTAACAGTAGGTACATTAGGATAATACATAAAAGAAATAATACAACAAAGGGGAAAAAAGTCAAAACTGACAAACACCTCAAGGAGTCACTAAGTTTTCTTGTACCCTTTCACTTAGGTCTCCCGCTCAGTCTTTTTGTGGAGAGAGGGGTAAGACAGAACTTTTTTCTCAAAGATGCTAAACAATGGCATCAAATGGACAAAACGACTACCAAGGGACTTTAAAAATCTGACCCCAAGGAATCCAGAACACACATGGATAATTCAGAGGTATATTTCTTATTTGGGGAAAATTCTAGACTAAAGAAATGATCATTTTGGATAAATGTTATAATAGATGAAACTAAGTCCAGTTTTTGGTGAGTCTTTTTTTTGTGTTTTTGTTTTAAATGTTCTACTACAACCTTCAGCTATCAATCATTTCTGATAGCTCAAGCAGAAGGTCATCTTCATCCTTCCCAGGATCCAAGTCAATCTCAGCTTCTAATTTGCCTCCTGAAATCTCCCATATTAATTTCTCAAAATCATCCTCCATAGACAGTAGCGGCTTTCCTGTTGAGGCAGAGCTGAGTCGGCGAGTTTTTGTGGCCACCTGGGATGAGGAAGGGCCAGATACTTCTGGTGGGGAAGGATCTGAAGAGGACTGGGTTGGAGGCAGCACAAAACTGTAAGAAAAAAAACCCCGAAGGATTATTAGATAATTGCCCTTCATCAATGGTTGGCTGGACCACCCAGTCTCAGGTACACAAAGAATTTTAGCAAAGAGTTGTTTCTGAAGACACACATAAACAAAGAATTGTTTTACTGATTTGGGATAAAGCATTTTCATCCTTTAAAGGAGAATCCAGACAGGTGTTTAAAAACTGTTTTCAATAATACAGGCAAAATATAAACAACAGCACCAAAAGAGAACAGCAACCTTGAATATCATGTTTTCCTGCAATTAATATGAAGTTTAGCAGATTTATTTAGATGTGGCTAAACTGTAAATTTTTCAAATTATTTAGCAGTGTTATTCTCTAGAGAGCATAAACAATAATAGCGGCCTAAACTTTGGTTAAAAAGAATTGCAAGGTATTACCTGTCTCTAGGTTTTTCTGTCTCAGGCACAGTGACTGATTTGTCTTCAGAGAGAAGTGGGACAACAGCCTACAAAAGTGAGAGTGAGGTAATTCAGTGGGAGAGTCAGGCTTTTAAATTTGAGCAGATTCATTTTCTCTGCTGCCTTCTTAGAACCATTCTTTAAGCCTGGGAATCCAAGAATAAACCCAAAGACTGAGGGTACAAATAAGCAAAATATCTTAATTAGGTTAAAAAAAAAAATTCACCCTGCCACTGCAAATGTTTAAGCTGTAAACATAATATACAGTAACAACCTAAACAACTAAAATGCTTAGGAATTGACAAACTATTAGACATAATACAGAGAGTTAACAGAGAATTCATCTTGCCCACTTTCCTACCACACAGACTAAAGCACCACTGAGGTGGATTTCCTTCTTACCACAGCTGCTTTTTTGACTGGGCTTTTCTGCAGGACACTGCTGGAGGTGAGTGGTTTCACAGATGCAATGACAGCAGAGTGGGGCTCCACTGCCCTGCGTTTTTGGGCCACTTTGTGTGATGAGACAACTTTAGCCACAGATGGCTTCACATTCATTTTAGGTTTAGCTACAAGACAGAAAACATCTGATTAAAAGCTAGAATAATCCCCCTTTTACATGGAGAATAACTCAGAATATCAAAATTCCTTCTCAGCAATTAGGAACAGCACAAGTAAGTAAAAAAACGAACCAACTAACCAAAAAAGAAAACCAGACTGAAAATGATCCACCAGCAATCTGCACTACACTTGGCCGTAATATATACACACACGTGTATATATACACACATGTATCTACATACGTGTGTGTGCATGTACATATATGTATATACACACACACTCTCCCCTCTCCTCTCTCTCTCAAACAATTCCTTTCAGTGCCTCTTGAATTTGCTACTGCTCTTTGCTTCCCTGGTGTTTTTCTCCTTCAAAACCAGAGGGAAAAGGCACCATGGAAAGTTTTAGACAAAGCCTTATAAACAGCAATTTTAAATTGTGAAAAAGGAACTCATCTAGTCTTTCTGTCTTTTTAAATAGAATTTTCAGAAATATTACTACCCACCTGTGTGATCAGTATACAAAGGCAAATGAAATTCAACCCAATTATTGCCAGGCAGTCACTGAAACTTGGTAATTTTGAAATTCTAAAGCAAAATGCACTAGAAAAAACATTCACCTTTACCCCTTTTTTCCAAGGTCTGTGTTGCACCTTTCACATTCAGTTTTGAGTGCCCAATCCCTGAGGTTTCCACCTCTGTCTTCTGGGATATCTTTGAATGAGGCCGTTTAGTCAGGAGCCGTGTGATGTCTGGCACGGTAGCGAGCACTGGTTTCTCTGCTAACTGGGTGTTGCAAGTGTCTAAATCTCCCCGAAGGCGTGCCAAAACTGATTTTTGCTTCTCCGACAGTTTCTGCACATGCTTTTCTCTCACTGTCTCACATCTCTTGACTTGAATTTTAGTGACGTCAACTGCTGTGGTCTCATCTGAAGTCTATGGATAAATTTAAACGACAGAATTAAAATCTAGTACCTCCAACAATCTGTATGATGATAATTATTGTTTATAAGTTACCAAGCTAACATCTAAGTCAAGCAAAGTTTCACATGATCTAGAACACAAGAGCTTTTGCCTTTTATATGATATTAAATAGAAAGATCAAGATAAAAGATGTGTGGAACAATAAAAACCCAAATTCTATAAGCTAGACTATCATGACCGTAAGTCTAACACAAATGGTTCCTAATCAGACACTTGCACAAAAATGTATGTACAAAGACATTCATTATCTTAACTGGGTAAAACAAAATCCAGTCCAGCAACAGACTATATTTGTGTAATAGAACACTACGTGGCCGGTAAAAGCAATTGTCTTAAAGAATTATTAATATGGTAAAGTCAAAGCAGGCTGCAAAATGATAACTGTAGAGTTCTCGCCTATGTTCTAAATATGAGTTAAACATTAAACAAGTTCACGTACATACATATACAAAGAAAAGGCCTGAAAGAAATGCATCAAAAAAACTAAGGGTAGTGACATCTGGAATGTGGAATTATAGAGTTTCTCATTCTTTTTAAAAAATAAAAATTCATGAGTTTTATAAATGAGTAGCATTACTCTCAAAGGCAAGGGAAAACTTAGTTTAAAAAATATGAATGGCCAATTAAAAACAACTTTAAAAGGGCAGAAAACACCGATATACACAGAAGTACAGAAAACTCTCATAGAAAATTATAAGCATAGTGAAAGACTGTTTACCTGAATATATCAGTGAAGTGTTAAATAGAAAACTTATAAACTAAAACTAAAAAGCACATATACCATTCATCTAGCCTTTGCTTGCCATGGACAAAATTATAAAATGATTCTAAATAAACTCACCTCTTTAGCCTCTGTTCTAGTAACACTGCTCTGAGAAGCAACAACACTTTCTTCTTTAAGTTTCCTCTCTTCTTTTATACCTAGATTCACATTAAACACATCACTAGTAATTTTATTCATGCTGCAACCTTGTAACAGATGAAGTTAAACAAAACTTTTCTTAATAAAAGTAATGATAAGATAGGACAAATAAAAATTGTGGACAAAATCTATTTAGTCCTCAAACAGATTCAAAATGCACATTAAAATATCAAGGTCTATATACAGTTGTTGTAAAGAAAGAGCTTTAACAACTTTTTTGGGGGGTGGGGTGGGTGTGGGTGTTGGCACGCCTCACAGCTTGTGGGATCTTAGTTCCCCAATCAGGGATCGAACCCATACCCCCTGCAGTGGAAGCACAGATTCCTAACCACTGGACTGCCAGCTTAACTTCTTTCAGTGCCCAGCTTAACTTCTTTTAATCCAGTGGTTTTCAAAGTTATCTGAGTAAAGAAAAGTTCTCACAGAATTCCTATGAATATCCTGTAGAATACCGCCCTTTGAAATATGATCTGGGGAAGTGGTACTACAGACCAAATTCTTTTGTTACCTGTTCTTTTAGTGATCTGGAGAAGCCGTCTTGCCCCTGGGGTGGCCTCAGGCTGAGGCTGGGAGCTGGTTCTGCTCTCAGAACTCTGCTGCACCCTCAGAGCCTTCTCCAGTTTAATTTCCTCCAGCGTCTTGATATGCACTTCCTGCATAGACTTCGCTCTACCTGCAGGTTCCTCTGACTGTCCTCTGCTGGCTACTACAGGTGGCAAAACCACTGTTTTTTTGATTTCATTATCAGTCTTTAGCTTGATGCTGGTTACATCCTTTTTGCTTTTTTGTCTCTCTGCTTCCTGCTGCCGGTGTTTCTTTTCAGCCAAGACCTCAGAGAACGTTTTGATTCGGACAGTGGAGGAGGTTCTTGTTCCTGTTGTAGAATCATCAACTTTTGAAGGTCCTTCTGTCTTGAGTTTAGTTTGCAATTCTCCACGTTTTTGACTGGCTCTTTCGAGAAGAATTTCTTCTAATGTCTTCACGTGGATCTCACCAACTTTAGTAACTCTCTCTGCTTTCATGGGGGAAAAACAAATCACTGTACTTGGATTTCATCTCTTAATGACTTACGATCTCTCTATTCTTGGATCAGGACAGAGTCCAATAGAGTGGTATCACTTAGGCAAGCAATTAAAATGGTCAAAAGCACATTAGTTTCAATCTCAATTTTAGATAGTGGCCCTCAAGGAAAACTCTCAGGAGGCAAAAATTAGTGATTTGGATTGCTATTCAGAAGCTTATTCTTGAGGATCCTGAAAGCCATTTACTAGTTAGAGAAGCTTGTCATTATAAATCTTACCAATAAAAATAAATTCTTCCATTCGTGCACAGATATAAACACATGCTAGACAGTATGCTAGAAATATAATGGCAAGCAAAATGCAAACTCTGCCCACATGTATTGATAGTTCGCAGTCTAACGGACCAATAATTAAACAACAACAAAGTATGGTAATGATAACAGCTTTGATAAAGGAGGTAAAGTTGACCCTTAAACAATGTAGGGGTTGGGATGGAGTACTGGGGCACCAACCCCTATGCAGTTGAAAACCCACATATGTGACTTTGCAACTGGGCTCCGTATCCATGGTTCTACATCTGCAGATTCAACCAACCAACCATGGAACATGTAGTACTGTAGTACATACTTATTGAAAACAAATCCACGTATAAGTGGACCCACACAGCTCAAACCCATGTTGTTCAAGGGTCAATTGTATAATGCTATGTAGGAGCATACAGCAAGAACACCAACCTTTTTCTACAGATTGGTTAAGGGAAGCTTTTCAGAGTAATATTTAAGTGACATTGAAAGGATGAAAAGGAAGTAGAACATGTGACAAGACAGAAGAAAAATGAGAAAGGCCCAGAGACTGGCATGCCACTGAAGAGCTATTTTTAATGATACATTAATCATTCTATATTTGTTTAAACTAAAGAGAAAATTTCACACTTGGCACATATGCCTGTCCTCATTACTGAAGGGCCTAAAGAAATAATGAAGCAATGTGAGAAAAATAAGAACAATTTGGAGATTATACACACACATATTTAATCACCAACACCTTTTAAAGAAAGATCAAAACAAAAAATATCCTTTTACAACCTTAAACATATCACTTCTGTCTCACCTTCTGAATCTTTGAATATGCTGTCCCTTCTATATGGAATATTCCCTACTGGTCTCATTTCTCCTGCTGCTTAGTTAGTTTAAAGTGAGTTCAGCTTAGAACCTGACACCCTCCAGCAGTCTAGTTTGTTTCTCTGATCACAGCACTGATCACACAGTACGGGGTAACTCCTTGTAATTCCAACCATACTAGATACTTCATGAGAACAGTGACTATGTTTAATTATTTTAGTACAGTACCTGTTACAGAGGAAGTACTCACTGATTTTCTTAGGTTTTTTAAATAAAAATTCTTCCATTTCAAGATGGTAGTCTGATCTCAAAACCACTTTAAGAAAGTATGTGAATGGTCAGTGGTTAAGAATCCGCCTGCCAATGCAGGAGACACGAGTTCAATCCCCGGTCCAGGAAGATCCCACATGCCACGGAGCAACTAAGCAGGTGCACCACAACTACTGAGCTTGTGCTCTAGAGCCCGTGAGCCACAACTACTTAGCCCTCGTGCCACAACTACTGAAGCCCACGTGCCTAGAGCCCACGCTCCACAACAAGAGAAGCCACCACAACGAGAAGCCCGCACAACACAACGAAGAGTAGCCCCCACTCATCGCAAACTAGAGAAACCCTGCGTGCAGCAACGGAGACCCAATGCAGCCAAAAATAAATAAATAATACATGTATTAAAAAAAAAAAAGGATGTGAATGGTGACACAGAGACCCTGTTTCCCTACACTACAAAATTTCATCAAAACAATAGAGAAGACATTAAAAGAATAAATCCACAATAGCAATGGAAAACAAGGATGCTACTGGCAGAACATAAATCTTGAGGAATTTGAGACAGAAAGATGTCTGAAATTACAGAAACAGAAAAAGAATAGATAAAACCATAGGAGTGAGATCTGTTCTTCAAAAAACAGGCAAAGAAAACTGCCAAACTAGTATGAAAATTAACAGTGGTAGAAATTAAGGATGGTTTACAACAGAACAGCTGGATCAATCAAGACCTTCTCCTGAGAACTGCTCCCTAAAAAGAGGAGAATCTGTCAGGGAAGGGAGCACATTATGAGGATGTTGGGGCTGAAAAGAAGTAGAGCATGAAAATTTCAGGCTTTCACAAATACCAAGCAGAAAGACGAGAGGTGAGGGAGAAAAGTAAAAAGCAAAGCTAGAAAATGAAATTAGTTGCACTCTGAAAGTAAAGAAAGGCTTTCTTACCATAGTAATCATATGAGCCCTCAGCCTTGGAGCCTACAACCAACATAGGCTGCCATTTAGTGCACCCTCTCTACTTAGGCAAACAGACCTCCCAGCCAGGAGAGAGGACCACTTGGGAAAAAGATCCTTAGAATCACAGGCCCAGTGATTCTAGGTTGTAAGAAACCTCGGCCCAGTACTTACAACTATGAAAAAGCAACATTAAAAATGAACCAAAATGAAGAGAAGCAATGAGGAAGACAAAATAACATACAAACCCATTAAAAAAAAAAAAGATTCAAATTAGAAACCCCAATCAATGAAACAGAATAAAGAGCCCAGAAATAAACCCACATGCCTACGGTCAATTAATCTTAGACAAAGGAAGCAAGAATATACAATGGAGAAAACACAGTCTCTTCAGCAAGTGGTGGTGGGAAAGCTAGACAGCAGCATGTAAAATCAATGAAGTTAGAACACACCCTCACACCACCATGTACAAAAATAAACTCAAAATGGCTTAAAGACTTAAATGTAAGACATGACACCATAAAACTTAGAAGAGAACATAGGCAAAACATTCTCTGACATAAATCGTACCAATGTTTTCTTAAGTCAGTCTCCCAAGGCAATAGAAATTAAAGCAAACAAAAACAAAACAACCAAATGGGACCTAATCAAACTTACAAGCTTTCGTACAGCAAAGGAAACCATAAACAAAACGAAAAGACAACCTACAGACAGGGAGAAAAATATCTGCCAATGATGCGACCAACAAGGGCTTAATTTCCAAAATATACGGACAGCTCATACAACTCAACAAAAAATAAAAAAAAAAACCCTATTGAAAAATGGGCAGAAAACCTAAATAGACATTTTTCCAAAGACATACAGATGGCCAACAGGCACATGAAAAGATGCTCAACATCACTAGTTACTAGAGAAATGCAAATCAAAACTACAATGAGGCACACTGGTCAGAATGGCCATCATCAAAAAGCCTACAAACAACAAATGCTGGAGAGGGTGCGGAGAAAAAGGAACTCTCCTACACTGCTGGTGGGAATGTAAACTGGTGTAGCACTATGGAAAACAGTATGGAGGTTCCTCAAAAAACTAAAAATAGAATTTCTATATGATCGTGCAATCCCACTCCTGGGCGTATATCCAGAGAAAAATATAATTTGAAAAAATACATGCACCCCGATATTCACTGCAGCACTACTTACAATAGTCAAGACATGGAAGCAACCTAAATGTCCACTGACAGATGAATGGGTAAAGAAGATGTGGTACATATATACAACGGAATATTACTCAGCCATAAAAAAGAATGAAATAATGCCATTTCCAGCAACATGGATGGAACTAGAGATTATCATACTAAGTGAAGTAAGCAGAAAGAGAAAGACAAATACCATATACTATCACTTACATGTGGAATCTAAAATATGACACAAATGAACTTATCTATGAAACAGAAATAGACTCACAGACATAGAGAATAGACTTGTGGTTGCCAAGGGCGGGGGGTGGAGGAGGGATGGATTAGAAGTTTGGGATTAGGAGATGCAAACTATTACATATAGAATGTATAAACAACAAAGTCCTACTTATAGCACAGGGAACTATATTCACTATCCTGTGATAAACCATAATGGAAAAAATACGAAAAAGAATGTGTATATATGTATAAATGAATCACTCTGCTATACAGCAGAAATTAATGTAACATTGTAAACCAACTATATACTTCAACAAAATAAATTTTTAAAAATAAAAAATAAATTACTTTTTAAAAAAGAAAGAAGCCCCAGAACTGCCTGAAATCAGGCTGTACAAAAGGAGAAATCAGAGAACTAAAAAAAGTTCTTGGAAAATAAAAAACCAAGTGACAAAATAAATCCAACCTAATCAAAAAAAAAAAAAAAAAAGACAAGGCTAGTAGAATATCAGCCATCTAGAACAGGGTCAGCAAACTATATAGTCCATGGGCCAAATATGGCCATGGTCTAAATTTTATAAATAAAGCTTTACTGGAACACAGCCATACTCATCCATTTACATACTGCAAATGGCTGCTTTCACACTACAGTGGCAGAGTTGAGTAGTTGCAACAAGAGATTGTGAATCTCAAAGTCTAAAACATTTACCATCTGATCCTTCATAGAAAAAGTGTGTCAATTCCTAATCTAGAAAATATAACCAAGCAAAAGTCATAGAAAGTGAGGCAAAAAAACAAAGGAATGGAAAGTATGAAGGCAAGGTTAAGATACATGGAGCGTATGTCCAAAAGTTCCAACATCTAATAACAATTCCATAAAGAGAAAACAAAAAGAAGGGTGGGGAGGACATGCTCAAAGAAATCAGAGGAATATTTTCTACAACTAAAAAATTTAGTTAAAAAAAAAAAAAAAAAAGTTAGTTAAGTCCTTAAATTCAAAGGACCCACTAAACACTGAGCATAATGAACAAAAAGATCCATGTTTAGATCTATCATAGTGAAGTCCCAGCCTAGTAGGAAGAAATAAGAGGAAATCCTCAAAGTTTCTGAAGAGTAAATTCAGGTTGTTTACAAAAGAATGTTTGACATCAGATTCCCTTTTTATGATACTTATCTAAAGACAAGGATAGGATGAAAAAGGAAAAGCACAGGTTAACACCGTTCATACATATAGATATAAAAAAACTGGAAATCATCTCACATGTGGACATTTTCCCTAAGGAATATGTTTCTATAATAAGAAAATAAATTTCATTCCCCACCCCCCCAAAAAAAAGATTCATATGTTGCCCTAAGACAAAAGCACTTGTATATACTTTCATAACCTTTCTTCGTTCAATACAAGGAGATAAGTTTCCCATATCATTATTGTTCAGAACATGACTTTTCATGACAGCAATTATTTTAGTATATAACTATCTTAATTCCTTTTTGTTAGATATTTAGATTATTTCTAATTTCTGGTTATTAATGCTATCATAAACAATCATTTTGCCACCTTTAACTACAAAAAGAGAACTCATTCCAGTGAGAAAACTATTACTTAAAAAGCAAACCCACAAAAAACAGAAAACGTAAGCCCCAACATAACTCAAAAGGTAAACTGGAGAAAAACCAAAGATTTTAACAGCAAGGAAAAAAATATCAGGAGCTGGCATTAGAGTTTACCTACCTGCTGCCTCCTCATTGTTTAGACCAGCTGACAAGCCTAATCGCTCCTTCAGAGACTTGGAAACTTGAACTGTTTAAAAAAAAAAAAAAAAAAAGTTGGGGACTTCCCTGGTGGTGCAGTGGTTAAGAATCTGCCTGCCAATGCAGGAGACACGGGTTCAAGCCCTGCTCCGGGAAGATCCCACATGCTGCAGAGCAACTAAGCCCATGTGCCACAACTACTGAGCCTGTGCTCTAGAGCCCATGAGCTACAACTACTGAAGACCATGCACCTAGAGCCCACAGCAATCAATGAATCAATCAATCAATCAATAAACAAACACTGTTTTAAAAAAAAAAAAGTTGAACAGAGACTTTCTATAGGTCAAAAATCTTTTTCAAAGGTCACGAATTAGGCTTATACTTGTTTTCTAATGAAAATGCTTTTCAAAAATCTCTTCAGGTCTTACAACTTCTTCTTCACAGTACAGATAGATCTATACAAATAATGGATTCTCTAGAGCACTTGGAAAGCACAAAGAAAAAGTCCTCTCTTTTACATCTGAAAAGCAAAAATTACTGAATTTAAGGAAATAATTTTGTTACTGTGCAACATTCTAAAATCTTATCATTCTAAAATCTTATTGGCATCAAAAGGCTTTTTCCCCCCTAGATCCATCTGAAATATGCTCTTTAGTTATGAGAGTCTTCAATACGATTGATAGGCAAAAGGGAAGGAAATTTGACTGCAAAGAAAAAAAAGTTAACCTCTGTTTACAGCTTTCAGAATACAGGAAAGCCCCCAAACAAGAAAGTCTACTCGTCAAAGCCTCTCGGGCTAGGGGAGAAGTGGAAAGAAGTGTCTTATCTTCGGCAGAAGTTGAAACTAAACACAAGAAGGAAAAAACATTTTTTTTTTCAAGTAATTAACACCACTGCTTCACTGCAAGTGAGACAAGGGGAAAAAAATCCAACCCTTTACTTCCTTCTATAAGTAACACTTCAACTATAAAATCATTCTAACTTCCAAATATCTCTCAAATTAGTCTGCATCTCTTCATACCAACTTCCAGAACACTAAATCTATGACACTAACTCCTCTTGCCTGGATTATTTTAACAGCCTGCTAACTCATTCCTGGACAGCACTCTTATCCCCTTTCTACATATTTTAGATGATGGTTCCAAAATGCCAATATGAGGATCTCTGATCCTTGTTTATAACCTTCCCATTGTTTGCTACTATCTTAGGATAAGCCCAAACTCTCTAATATGGCTTAAAAGGTTCTGTTATCAGCAGTCCTCAAACTTTTTGGCACCAGGGACCAGTTTCGTGGAAGACAATTTTTCCACGGACCCAAGGTGGGGAGGGGGTGGTTTTGGGATGATTCAAGCGCATTACATTTATTGTGCATTTATTTCTACTATTATTACATTGTAACATATAATTAAATAATTATACAACTCCCCATAATGCTGACAGGAGGCAGAGCTCAGGGGGTAATGCGAGCTATGGTGAGTGGCTGTAAATACAGATGAAGCTTCACTTGCTCACCTGCTGCTCACCTCCTGCTGTGCGGCCCAGTTCCTAACAGGCCACAGACAGCTACCTGTCCGTGACCCGGGGGTTGGGGACTCCTGCTCTATACGACCAATCCCTTCTTCCTCTCCAGTTACCATGCTCTTCATTCCAATTCTGATTCAGTCACAGTGAGTCCCTTGAGCTCTGTGCCTTCCGTGTATTATACTCTCTGCCTCTGGCCCTTCAACTTTACCTGGCTAAATCATATTTCAGGTCTAAGCTTCAATATCATTTCCTCTGGGAACCTTTCCCTGACAGATGGTGAGATTAGGTGCCCTTCCTATGTGCTCCCATAACACTGTGTACTTTCTCTGTCACAGAATTTATTACAATATATGTAAAGATTCCTATCTGCCATTATACTACAAGCTTCTGAGGTCTGTGATGGTGTTTATTTTTATCCAATGGTGTCTACCTAGAATCCAGCAGAGTAAACATTCAAATGTTTGTTGAACGAATAATAAAACAGACACAAGAAGATAATAATCTTATTAACCTGAACAAAAAGAATGACAAACCATACCTGTTAACATTACAAGAGACAAGTGTCAAGATTACACACACAAAGTATATTAGAACAAAAGTACCTTTCTTTGGTGTTCTGTCAGTGTCAGTCTCTGGAGCTTCAACTTTCTTCCCTAGCCTTTGTGCAAGGCTATGCTTTAATGGAGGATCACTGTCGCAACCTACAAACAGAGAGAGGGAACTCAGTTTAAGATTTCAAGCCAACCTTTAGCAAGGTCAAGAAATACAGGCAAAAACAGACAATGTAGAATAATTCTGTAAGTTTTCTGCATTTATATGATGTGTTCATTCACTAGCTTCCTTATAACTCAATGTTAGAGAAGGAATAAAAATGTCCCAGAAAAAAAAGGTAAGGAAGGAGATAAAAAAATTAGAATGTACAAATTAACATTTACCAAATAACTAAAACTATAAATGGAGGATTATAAACCCTGATTAAAGCTGAAATTCAGGAATAGGAATATGTGAAAAAAAAAATCTTCATGCACAAAAAATATCTTTAACTGGCCAACTGTTGAATTCTAGGTCGATCTGTGATTAAATACAACTGGGATGATTAGGAGGACAGCAAAAGAACCATAAAATTAAAAATTTTCCAGGGACATGAAGACTCCAAAGGCCAAAGAGCCCCTTTCTTCGATTCCAGATAAGAAATCTAAGGTTATGAAAGATGCTGTATCTTACCCAAGTCACCAATTAGTGACAGAGCCAGGACTTGAACCAAGTTTCCTGACTCCTGGTTTATTGCATTACACTGGTCAATACAAGCTGTTTAAATGTCAAAAGTTTTTAAAAACTATTCTTTGGATCACTTGACTGAAGGTAGAACTTTAGCAGGGTCCCATAAAAACTTTAAAGACCCTACACAGAATGTACTTTTCTCTCTCCTCTTATTTGTAATTTAAATATACAACCCCAAATCACAAGGTTTATTACACATATGCTGATATTAAAATAGATTATTTCCGTAATTTTTTACCTAAATTTCTCAGGCAGCGAGAATGGTATAAAACAAAACACAAAACAGATAAGATTTCATATTCATAAGCACATTTTAAAGGAGTATGAAGGAACCTCTGAAGTCAGATAAGATTTTCAAAATAATTATTTTGAGACAGATACACTAGGGTCAGTACACAGTAATTCAGTTACATGGTAAAATACTTCCCTAAGTATAAAATAGCACTAATAAATTCAAGGACTGAATTTATATTAACTGGACACTTTGTTTTCCCTCTAAAAACTCAAATTTCAATTTATCCATACAAACAGAGGTATTCTTTACTCTTTTTTAAACCGAGTACCTTCTAAAAAGTTGGCCATAATCTAATTAAAACACTATAAATTTGTATAACTTCGCACATGTTAAAAACATGAAGAGATTTTATACATGCTTTCAGCCAGAAATACAAGGGAGTTAATATCAATATTGACACGGCATTTGTATAAAGAGAATTTTGGAGGAGATATGTAATGCACAAACAAGCAGAAAACAAAGGATATGCTCAAAACTTATCTCACCTCCTGAAAATTTGTGTTTCCCCAGTCTCTCCGTTAGACTCAATCTTACCAAAGGTTCTTCTCCTAAAATGGCAAAAACAGAATTTCTCTACCATTAGCCAATTTTTCCGTATTCAGTAACTACTAATGGGTACAAAGTATGCTCTGATATTAAAGTCTCTTGGAAATCAGATCTCAGTCTTAAGGAAAACTACCCACATTAAAAGAAAAAAAAATCAACCTATTAAATAATAATTTAAATAACCAAATGCACAGTCCAAAGGGAAGCAATAGCACAGTCCTAATTAATAGTAGCTAAGTACACAAAGACAAGCTGTGTCTAACCAATTGATTACAAAACCCAAGCTATACTTTTGCTTGTGCACTTCCATATGTTAAATGAAATCATACTTTACTCCACTGCTAACTCTCCTATATAACGTTCCTTGATCACCCCAGCAAAAAGTGAGATCTCTTTCCTCTGATTCTTTGTTATCTGAATGGCACATTTTAATGTATCTGCATACTACAATTACTTGTGTCATATTCCCTATCAGATTTAAAACTATTAAGGGAAAAAGACTTTTACATTTTTCTATAACTTAAAAGGTATATTACAGTTCTTTACTTACAATGGACAGTCAATAAATTTGTTGGATAAAATAAACAGTATATGTAAAAATCAAATACAATACATAATGTGAGAGCTGCATGATTAAGAATTTCATCTTTTTAAACAGTAGGGGCAAATGCACTAATTTTTCATCGTTCTATCCAATCAACATACTGAAGACTCCCTGCAAATCCACCAATATACCCAACCCAAGCATTTTGCTCTCCCAGTCATTTAAAAGTAGTAGGCTGACACCTCTTAAGACCTACCTATACCTCACCTTGTTTGTTGGACAGAGTTACTGTCCTCACCACAGTCCGGACATTCTCTTTTTCAGGACCTGGAATGGTCTGTGGTTGGAGTAAAAGACTGGAAACTCCTGAAGAACCTTCTAAATATAGAGAGTCAAAAACAGTAAATAATTTATGGAAAATACAGCTATCAGAAGTCAAGAAATTCTGTTTTTGAGACCAGGTAAATCCAACACAGACCACTGGACTACAAGTCAATCAGTTTTTGTGTTCCTGTTTGCCTACAGTGAAATGGAGTAGGGAAAGGGGAGATAATCTTATTTTTTATCTGCCTTTGGCACAATGTGAAAGTAAAATATAAAACTGTTTTGAGTGACTCAGGCACTCAATGTACTTTTATTTACTAGGAAGGCTAACATTATTCTAAAGTTAACCTCAGAAGCACATTAGCTATTAAGTGTGTTAATTCAATCTTTTCCATCTATATTCAATTATCTGCAAAACACAACTCCAAAGTTGCTACGGAACAATCCTTAGCAAGAAGGCACTTAGAACCAACCATTTGATTCTCTCTAAATGCATTTCACACTATATAATTTTTAGGGTTGGAAATATAGATCAACCAGGCTAAGGCAAGCACCAGAAGAAAATCCTAGCAGCTCTTGAGGAAGAATTCACCTACTACAAAATGAACTTTTTCCTCTTTTAAGTAATAGTTTAGGGAATTCCCTGGCGGTCCAGTGGTCAGGACTCCATGCTTCCACTCCAGGGGGCATGGGTTCAATAACCTGGTTGGGGAATTAAGATCCTGCAAGCCATGCAATGCGTTCAAAAAAACAAACAAAAAAAACAAAAACCTTATATGCTATTCTTTAGTTATATTTCTCAAAATAAACAAGTTCTTTCAGGTTCTTCATTGTATGTGCCTAGCTCTGAACAGTTAGGGACTGAAACAGCTGCAATGGGTTAAAAAAGCAACTGTGATTTAAATAAGACTGTGTTTTACTTCAAAGAAGCCACAAAAATCAAAATCTATTTGCTCATTTTGGTTGGTGTCAAGTGTCCTTATTATCAGAAGTATCTTTTTTTTTTTTTTGGCTGCATTGGGTCTTCATTGCTGCAGAAGTGTCCTTTCTATTCTTCTGTAGCAACATTCAATCCTCCGTATCAGGATTTCCCTGGTGGTCCAGTGGTTAAGACACCACACTCCCAATGCAGGGGGCCTGGGTTCCATCCCTGGTCAGGGAACTAGATCCCACATGCATGCCGCAACTAAGGAACCTGCCTGCCGCAACTGAGACCCGGGGGAACCAAGTCAATAAATAAATAAATTTATTTATTAAAAAAAAAATCCTCCATGTCAAAACTCCTGATAACTCACCACCTTGCTTCTTTGATTTTTCCTTCATTTTCTTTGATTTAATTTCTTCAAGAGTTTTTATCCCAAAATTCAAACATTCACCTAGGAATGCAAATAGCAACCACATGAGGAACCAGCACCATTTCACCTCTGCAGTTTATTTGTACACAGCTGGCATTCAAATGTTTGTTCAATGAATAAGAGAAATTAAGTGTGTGTGTGTGTGTGTGTGTGTGTGTGTGTGTGTGTGTGTGTGTATAATGGGCGCAAGGAAGATGGAGGTGGTGGTAATCATGAACTAAATTTCAAAGGTATTTAAAATAGTCTGGACTCACTCAACAGTGTTGTAAGATTTATGAGCAGGAACCAGCATCAATATAGCCTCTTCTTACCTTGTTTTAAATTGACCCCAGGTTTCCGGGCAGAAGCCACTCGTAATCCATTATGAACTTCAGGAGTTGGTTGCAGGGTAGGTGTTTTGGTTTCATCACCTTCCTCAGAAAACTGATCTATATTATCAAAATTTAAGGCAAATTCCCAATTAAAAACAGGTCTACTAGAGCTTCAAGTCTGATTCTAATTCACTAAGTTACCCTGATCATTTACTTGCCTTAAAGAAAGAGCTAAAGCTTACCATCATCATCTTCATCATCATCTGCAGCATTGATTACCACTGGTGGATGTGTAGGGCTAGGAACATTTTCTGAACTTTCTACTTTCATAATACTTCGCAGTTGAGGAGAGGGATTAGACTGGACAGATAATTTGCTCTGTTGAACTGTGAGCTGGCTAGCCTTCACTTCCTCTTCTGGTGACTCAGGCACAGTGGGCAACACAGCTAGACATACAAAGTTAGTCATAAATTAAAAATAGAAGATACAGTCCCAATTCATCAAAAATCTCTGACAGAACAGTATGGAGGTTCCTTAAAAAACTAAAAATATAACTGCCATATATCTCAGCAATCCCACTACTGGGCAAATACCCTGAGAAAACCATAATTCAAAAAGAGTCACGTACCACAATGGTCATTGCAGCTCTATTTACAATAGCCAGGACATGGAAGCAATCTAAGTGTCCAACAACAGATGAATGGATAAAGAAGATGTGGCACATATATACAATACAATATTACTCAGCCATAAAAAGAAACAAAATTGAGTTACTGGTAGTGAGGTGGATGGACCTAGAGTCTGTCATACAGAGTGAAGTAAGTCAGAAAGAGAAAAACAAATATCATATGCTAACACATATATATGGAATCTAAAAAAAAAATGGTTCTGATGAACCTAGGGGCAGGACAGGAATAAACACATAGACGTAAAGAATGGACTTGAGGACACGGGGAGAGGGAAGGATAAGCTGGGACGAAGTGAGAGAGTAACACTTACATATATACACTACCAAATGGAAAATAAATAGCTAGTGGGAAGCAGCTGCATAGCACAGGGAGATCAGCTTGGTGCTCTGTGACCACCTAGAGGGGTGGGATAGGGAGGGTGGGAGGGAGATGCAAGAGGGAGGAGATATGGGGATATATGTATAGCTGATTCACTTTGTTATAAAGCAGAAACTAACACACCATCGTAAAGCAATTATACTCCAATAAAGATTTTTTTTTTAAAAAAAAAATCTCCAACCACCTATCTTAAGTTTGGTGATTTTCTTTGAGCATTATGTCCTTTTAATTCATGTCTTTTAATTAAAATTTTAATCTGGGCTTCCCTGGTGGCGCAGTGGTTGAGAGTCCGCCTGCTGATGCAGGGGACACGGGTTCGTGCCCTGGTCTGGGAAGATCCCACATGCCGCGGAGCGGCTGGGTCCGTGAGCCATGGCCGCTGAGCCTGCGTGTCCGGAGCCTGTGCTCCACAACAGGAGAGGCCACAACAGTGAGAGGCCCGCGTACCGCAAAAAAAAAAAAAAAAAATTTTAATCTAATTTTTAATTTCCCCATTTTCCCAATTAGGTTTTAAACTCCCAGGGAGGGAAAATGTGGCTTTCAACTAGTAACTATTCACTGCACATAAACACACTCAAAGTGGGTGCTCAAAACAGAGAATAAACAGGAAGCTAGATGCACAGCAACTATTTACAAATTCTAGACATTAAATTTTAATACTAAAATTCTAGGCTCTTTGATCAAGAAGCAGCTTTTTAAAGAGATAGCGGGCAATACTTCTGAATTATACCAGAAAGGGGTGAGCCTTTTTCCCCTTAAATAGAGATAAAAATATATATCCATCAAATTTTAATCACATAGCAGATGTGGCTTTAAATGGCTGATCACTCCACTAGGAAATTACTTTAAAAGGACTTTAAATACTAGCTTTTGGCAGAGTGTAAGTTTCATTTTAGATTACACCCTAGAGCAGGGGCAGTGTTAGCAAATGTTTTTCTGTAAAGAGGTATATAGTAAATATTTTAGGCCTTGTAGATCTTGTCTCAACTACTCAACTCTGAAGCAGTAGCACAAAATCTGGCCACAGGGGCTTCCCTGGTGGCGCAGTGGTTGAGAGTCTGCCTGCCGATGCAGGGGACACGGGTTCGTGCCCCGGTCTGGGAAGATCCCACATGCCGCGGAGCGGCTGGGCCCGTGAGCCATGGCCGCCGGGCCTGTGCTCCAAAACGGGAGAGGCCACAACAGTGAGAGGCCCGCATACCGCACAAAATAAATATAAATAAATAGATAAAGCTTGTGTTTCCTTATTTAAAAAAAAAAAAAAATCTGGCCACAGAAAATATATAAACAAATGGGCAGGGCTTCATTTCAATAAATCTTTATTTTACAAAACAGGTGGAAGACCAGACTTGCCAACACCCCTGGCCTGGAGAATCAAGTTTCTTTTGAAAATCTCTATAGATATGATAAGAAAATGGGAAATGAGGTAATAAGCTGTAGTAATCTAAACTATCTTGCCAAGAAACATTTGTGAAGCAGCATGGATTTTGGAAACAAAGTTTTAATCGTGACTGCTATTTTATTGGCTTATGACTGTGTACAAGTCATTTAACCTTAATAAAGTTCAATTCCCTCATCTGTGAAGTGAAAATAATACTGCTCTCTCACAAGACTAAAAGAAGGCAATGTTTATAAAGTACTCTGTACATTGTGCATGTAGGTGTTCATTATACAGTAACTATTCTTTCAAAATTGAAACGAATCTCACTTTTGCTTGGAGGTAGGAAAAGGCCATCAACAAAACGTCCTCTGTTGTGATGAAAAGCACAGTTTAGTTTCTGACATCCCACTGGCTGATTTTCCCAATAACAAGGAATCTCACTGCGTTTTTTCTGTAAGAGGAAAAACACATTATTTTCAAATAAAAAATAGTGTGACCTGTATTAATTTGGTCATGTTTTCTGGACAAAGTTCATACAAGGTTAAAAAATCTGAGGCATGTGAAATGATTTTGAGTATGAGGAAGAAGGGCTGCTGAAAGTAACTTATTCTAGCATGACAGAGAGATGAAAGGAACAGGGAAGTAGTCTGCTATTCTTTCCTCCTTGCCCTAATCCTTGAACTCCTAAATGTCTACATTTAATTTAGAAAAGCAGGGTAATATAGTAGGTAAGACTATGGAATCAAGGATAAGAGTCAAGAATCTCTATTATGTTACTTATTGACCATGTGATGTCAAATAATTTAATACCTCTTAGTCTCACTTTCCTCAGCTATAAAATGGGAGTAACAGTAGCTATTAATTAGTTTCTCATGAGAGTTAAATGAAATAATGTACATGAAGCACTTAGCACACAGAAAAGACGCAATAAACTGCAGTTATTATTTGAAGCTGAGAGTTCAAGACTTGGAAAAATTCTTCCTCTTCCCATTCGTGACTTCTAAAGGTTCATGTAACACACTAGGATGGTTATCTTTCCTTCCCAAGCTACCTCGCTCTTATAAAGGGGAACAAGAAAAACAAGAATACTGGTACATCTAGAATGATTTGCTGGATAACAGGATATATGTCCAAGAGAAACACATACATAAGTTCTAATATACACATTAGATGTATATAAAGAATATTCAAAGAACACTATTTGTAACAGCTCCAAAATGGAAACAAACCAAATGTACATCAACACTAGAAAGGATAAATACATTGTAGTATATTCATAAAATACAATGCTATCCAGTAATGAGAGGGAATAAACTTAACACCATGGGTGCAGAACGAAAGAAGCCAGACACAAAAGAGCACATCCTGTGTAATTCCATTTATGTAAAGACCAAAACAGTTAAAACTCCTCTATTGCAGAGTAGTCAAGACGGTGATTAGTTTTGGGGGTGTGGTGAGTGACAATGAAGAGATAAAGGGGGAAGACAGAGTGTTGGAAATGTTCTATTTCTTGATCAGGGTGCTGGTCTAGTAAGTATATTCACTTTGTGAAAATTCTTCAACTTGTAAGATTATGATATGTGCACATTTCTATATATACTTTAACAAACAGTTCAATAAAGAAAAAAAAAGACGTGATAAGCACTTCTGAAAAGCAACTAAATTCTGATTAATAACCTGCATTATGTTGGATCTCTCATAATAAGCAGCCTAAGGATTAAATTTCCAGGAAAGAACAGAAGCACTACTTCAGAAATCTTTAAATATGGAGGAAAGAAACAGAGGAACAATGACCATTACAAAAAGATCCTTAAATGTATCAAAAGGGGCAAAGATCCCAATATCTACTATATTGGGAGACTGATAATTTGATAATACACTGTGTTGGTAGGGATGTGGAAGAATCATGGAGTCCCACATACTGATAATGAAAATATAAATTAGCTCAACATCTCTGAAAGTGACTGGGTAAAAACTACGTAAAAAATTTATGTCCTGCATTTACTGCCACATATTTTTAAAAAGTATAGCAAATAGGGCTTCCCTAGTGGCGCAGTGGTTGGGAGTCCACCTGCCGAGGCGGGGGATGCGGGTTTGTGCCCCGGTCCGGGAGGATCCCGCGTGCCGTGGAGCGGCTGGGCCCGTGGGCCGTGGCCACTGGGCCTGCGCGTCCGGAGCCTGTGCTCCGCGGCGGGAGAGGCCGCAGCAGTGAGAGGCCCGCGTACCGCAAAAAAAAAAAAAGTATAGCAAATAACTTTGCCTCTGAAAAAACTGGATAGAATTTATTAGTCTCCCGTTACACTTAAAAGGTAGGTATAATAGATACCATTGTTTTTTAGAATAACAACAATTATTCTATTACTCCTTGAGGCAGAATCTAATGCCAATCTTCCTTGCTCCTGGATTTTTGTTTGCTTAAGTTTTTACTTCTTTCCTGAAAGCAATCTTCAAATTACTGGATGACTACTGTGATAGCATCCTCTTTATACAGGAGTCACATGACGTTTATTTGATCTGTTTAATACTTTTACTGAATTTTGTTTCAAAATAAAAAGTAATACATAAGCAAAGAAGATGACTTGGAAAATAAAATTAATGCCTGTTAGGCCATTCCCCAGTGAGAGTCACTTATTTTGGTATAGAATTCTTTTTCTTAAAAAACAAAAACAAAAACCTGTAGAATGTATTGATTCACACTTAAAAGAAAGTTCTTCCATATAATTCTGTACATTTTCACTTAGCAATGCATCCTCCATAGTAACATTCTCCTGTATGATTACTCCTCTTTTTTTTTTTTTTTTTTTTTGCGGTATGCGGGCTTCTCACTGCTGTGGCCTCTCCCGTCGCGGAGCACAGGCTCCAGACGCGCAGGCTCAGCGGCCATGGCTCACGGGCCCAGCCGCTCCGCGGCATGTGGGATCCTCCCGGACCGGGGCACGTACCCACGTCCCCTGCATCGGCAGGTGGACTCTCAACCACTGCGCCACCAGGGAAGCCCCTCCTTTAACTTTTTAACAGTAACATAGCACATGGTCCAAAGATATATAGTTAATGCTCACATTATTTAATTAGCAAATACTGAACAATTCTGCTCAAGGAAACAGAGTTGGGTTCCTGAAAGCTCTTGGTCACATTTTCATCAAGCGATCAATACATAATCTTGTTTGATGTGTGTCTGTGTTTAAAGACACCTTATTTAATAAATATCACTGGGGACTTCCCTGGTGGCGCATTGGTTAAGAATCCGCCTGCCAATGTAGGGGACACAGGTTCAATCCCTGGTCTGGGAAGATCCCACATGCTGCGGAGCAACTAAGCCCATGTGCCACGACTACTGAAGCCCGCATGCCCTAGAGCCCGCGCACCACAACTACTGAAGCCCGCACACTCCAGGGCCTGCGTGCCACAACTACTGAGCCCATGTGCTGCAACTACTGAAGCCTGTGTGCCTAGAGCCAGTGCTCCACAACGAGAAGCCGCCACAATGAGAAGCCCGCACACCGCAATGAAGAGTAGCCCCCACTCGCTGCAACTAGAGAAAGCCTGTGCACAGCAACAAAGACCCAATGCAGCCAAAAATAAATAAAATTTTAATAAATAAATAAGTATCATTGATTCATTAACACTGAACTCAAGGTCAACAGCGCTGTAACTCACACCTGAATGAAGCTTATCGAACACTCGTGTTTTCTACACAAGGCACATAAGAGCTTTCTTGCACTTAGGGACATTACATACAGCACTTCAGCACTACACTTGGGGGCCATTTAAAACAGCAAAATCACAAACAAAAAGCACAAAAATGCAAACAAACATGGCACTAAATAGATCATGAAGAGGACATCTGTACTGATTCTGGGGTTATAAATTTTAGCACATATACAAATTTGCAAATATGGAACCCATGAATAATGAAAGTCGATGCATCTAGAAAGGGGGGTATACAGTAAACCGACTCCTTACCATTCCCATCTCCACTCTCCTATAGCCATTGTTGTTAGGTTTCTCCTTTATACTTCCAGAGATATTTAAAATGCATATATGAGTGAAAAACAAATATAAATTCTTTTCCTTATCTTTTTTTTTAACACAAATGGTAGTATATTACACACTTTATTCTGTCCTTTGCTTTTTCAGTGACACTATATCCTGATCTTTTCATATAAATAAATAAGTAGTATCCCTTTAAAATTTTTTGGTAACAGCTGCCCAGCACTCCACTGTATGAATGTAATAAAATTTATTTTAAATGAAGGTTCGGTTGCTTCATACACTTTACATATTACAAATTACGTTACAATGAGTAATTCTGCAGAGATCTCATTTTGCACATGAGTACAGATGAGACAAAGGTACAAGTAGTTAGTAGTTTTGAAAGATGCAGCCAAACAAGCCTCTGTGCAAAAAAGAGTTAACAGAGTAGCCTAGCCCTAAGCCTGCAGTCCTCAGATAGCCTGCTTGTAAGGCTGGTCCTTTCCCGGCATGTGGGAAATTGGCTCTTATAATGCTCCTGGTCAGTTAACTGATCACTGTGCCTGGACTGTTCATGCAAACAATATGGCTTATGCTGAACACCTGACATCCTTCTAGGAGACTAGAGTTTTGGTATGTGTTAGGTAGAGGGTGCCTATGTGACCAGTCCCAATAAAAAAATTTGGATGCTGATCTAATGGGCTTCCTTGGGCAAAAACACCCCACACATGTTGCTGCATTTTCACCACTGGGGGAAATGTATGTTCTTTGTGACCCCTTATGGGAGGGAAAGATAATAAAAGAAACCCACACATGGATTCCTCCAGTCTCTGTGTTTTTTTCTTTTATGATCAGTGTAACCTTACTATATCACTGTAATAAATCTTAGCCATGAATAAACCATATGCCAAGTCCCACGAGTTTTTTAGAAAATCTCCAAACGCAGATGTTCTTAGAGACTGATACACCTTTCCTAGGAGTTGTGCCAGTTTACACTCTGCTCGCAATGTTACAACATGATCTTTTGAAAGTTCCAGAGTATTTCTTTTTCTGAATGTATTTAGTGAATTCCCTATTTGGAAGACAGCATAGAATGTAGCTGAGAGACCATAAATCTGAAACCAGAATGGAGTAGTTATATAACCACAGGCATACAAATTGCATATTTAGTCTCTTTCTTCTTTCCCCACCCCCTCTCAAACAATTCAGTCCAAAGTCATTAGGTGAAGCTGAGAGAGGTAGGCATCCATGTTGGGCTCTTGCAAGTGCCCCAGAGCAAGGTGTTGGAGGTTGACTGAGATGAGGAAGGTATCCATGTGACAAGGTGGAACCAGCTCATAGGGTGTCAGGGTTAGTAAGGCATTTGTGTAGGAGGATGGCCTGGCACAAGGTTGGCGCCTGAGAAGGGTGAGCAAGGCTTTTATGCAGAAGGGATCCTAATGTAGGGTGAGGAGGGTATACTCATGGAGTGTCAGCCTAGAATGGGCATCAAAGATCAAGTGAGGTGAGGAAGGCAGGCTCTTCTGAGTGGGTCCTGGTATAGTCAGAGAATGAGCAGGGTGAGGAAAGCAAGCATCTCACATGGGAGGGCTGCCCAACACAGAGTATCAAAGCCCAAGGATGTGAAAAAGGCATCCATGAGGTCCGGAGCAGGGTGAGGAAGGAGTCCTCACAGTGGAGCAAGGTGGGAGGCCTGCCCTGGTACAGGATGTCAGAATAGAAACAAGGTGAGAAAGATGTCCTGTGCAGGAGCAGCCTCATGTGACATCAGAGCCTGAGAGGAAGAAACAGGCTGTAATACACTGTCTAGTTTACGTAACTAGGGGACTGATCAAGTAAGATTAAGAACAATGGAAATCAAGTTTTGGAGAAAAGAGTTACAAGTATGAATAAGGAGAAGCCTACACAAAACACTGTAGTGTTGGTAAATTGGAAGCATCTATGTGAACTCATGATTTTCAATACATAAAATAATAAACAATGATATAAATGTATGTATACACATTTATTCTGTCCACTGCATGCCTGGAAGCAGTGACACTCCAGAAGCAGTTACACTAGAAGGAACCAAGGCTCCTTGCAGAAATGGCTGATTCCACAACTGGAGGAGGAAAAGTACCAGATGAACCTAGATAATCTTGTTAGGCCACAAAGTGAAGACGTGTTCAAAGAATGATGGAAACATCAAAAAGACACAAAAACCAGCTTTAAGGTCTCTTACTGGCCCAAACTGAGTCAACCTGAGGATAACAAATGGTAGTAGTGACATAAAACACATTGAATAAAATAGGAAACCATGAGTTCACACATAAAAAGCTAGAAAAAAAACCTTGAGAACTTGATGAGGAACGGGATAATTACAAGGTCTCCAAGTTTCTCTCCAAAAAATACTTACTAAATACAAAAAGGAAAACTTTATAGTGAAGCAATCTGGTGGATACCACCTTAATGAAGTGATCAAAGTTAACAACACCAGTAATGGGATAATTAATATTGTATGCCACCCAATGATAAGCAATGAGAAGAATAATAAGAGGTGACTCTGTGATATTCCTGCCAAATATACATGACCTGAATTTAGTAATGAGAAAATATCAGATAAACCCAAATTGAGGAACACTCTACAGAATAATTGTCCTCAAACTACCAAAAATGTCAGGGCCAATGAAAGGCAAGAAAAAACTAACTGTTCTAGACCCAGAAGGAGACTGAAGAGTTATGGCAACTATATGCAACACTTGATTCTGGCCTCACTCCTACTGCAATAAAGGACATCACTAGTACAATGGCAAAACTTGAATGGGATCTGAGGATTCAATGAAAATAATACATATATGTTAATTTTCTAATTTTGATGGTTGTATCACAGTTATGGAAGACAGTATCTTTCTTGTTTGTAGGAAACAGTCATGAAAGTATTTGGAAGTGATAGGAAATGTCAGTAATTTACCCCTAAATGGCTTAGAAGAAAGTTTTATAATACTGTACTTGCAAGTTTTCTCTAAGTTCAGATTGCTTTAAAATAAACATAGAAATATAAATACCCCCCAAATATACATATATAATTTTTACACTTTGGACAGATTACCAAACTACCTTTAAGAAATATGATACCAATTCATACCATATAACATCTAGATATTAAGTGAACATTTTAATGAGAGAAATTTCAGTAGGTCATTAAAAAAATTTAACTCACATGTTATATGAAATGTTGTTTTTTACCCCCATATTTTTTATTGGCCCATTAGGACACAAGACTACTTACTATAATACAAACTGAAAACTTACATCAATCTCCATGTGCCGAAACCTGCACACCTGTCGAAAACAGCGCCCTTCCTGCCATAATGTGCAAACAGTTTCATTCCCTAATGCAGCTTCACAGTGACGGAATGGACAGCTGTCACCCTGTAAACAAGAGAATAATACAGAAAAGAACTGTGGTACCAAACTAGATCCCAGGCAAAATGTTCCCTGTACATTTCTTGGTATCTAGACAAACACAAAGCAGTAAGGAGAGACAGATAAAGTAGAAAACAACTGGGATGAGATGACACGAACAATGTGAGGTCAACAAATTTTTAATTTCCTAAAACCTATTTCTTGACAGCATCCTACATCTGATCTGACAACATGAATGACACAAGCTGAGAGACGGGGCTGAAAAAGACAAATGGGAGTATTAGGTACTGTTTAAAAATATATTTTACTGTTAATCTTCAAAACCATTTCATACATCCTGACTTGTGTAACTAGTTTTTAATGGAAAATCAGAAAGTTAATAGATTAGAATTTAAGTATAATTCCATACTTCACTATGTATTTCATACAACGTTAATATCTGAAACAAAATGCTACTGTTGTGCAACTTGCTATATAAAATCAAAGCTTTGCTCAAAACTGACAATTTTAAACATAGCACCAATATGATTTAAGAAAAATTTTTGAAAAAAAATACACATGCATAGAATTAGTCATAAAAGAACAGAAAACAGCAGACAGATCTAAATGGAGCTATAGAAGAATCAAGCTGAAAAACAGGAAGCTCTGACAAAGAAAAAGCAATAAAGCTGCAAAAGCTTATTTAGAAAATGGCTTTAGTATTCAGCAGGAAATCTTAAGCAAGAAGTCAAATTCAACCCACCCATTCATTTAACACAAAGTAAATAAAAGCAAAGTTGGCCAGCCACAGTTAAAGTGTTCCTAATTCCGAAAGCACCCTGAACAGATTAATTACAGCTAGAAGAACACTGAATGATGATTAAATGCTATGAACCTTTTTATTTTTGGAGAATATGGAGAACATAAAATGAAGAGAAAAAAATGATGAAGAATGAATTCCCTTAGGAATGCTACCCTTTACTAAAAACTGACAGCAGATAATAAATAGCTGAGCAAAACACAGAGACGACTTGGTATATTGGGAAAATCTTACCCAATTTTATTAGGGAAATCATAGAAAGAAATGATTTAGAGATGCCAATTCTTACTTTAGTACATGTAGAATAGAAAAAAAAATAGCAGTCTTCTCCTTGATTAGGCATGCTGAGTAGATCCTCAGATGAGAAGTGGCTTCTTGAAAACAAGCCACTGCTTCCTCAAGGCGAGGACCAGCTCCAAGTCCTCTTGATATGGGTTTAATCTTCCAAAAGACAACTCAATCACAGGAATTGTCTTTTAAACGTAATCCTAAAATGAGAAGTCAATGAACGAAAGTATTTCAGGTAAATTCTTCCAACTTTCTCCTCCAAATCACCTTGACCAATGAGATCACATTGTTAAAACCAAATTTTAATTGTATTAGTATGTCTATATTGCCTATAACAGAGCCTTATGAAAACTGATTCACATTTTATTCTGATGTGAAAGTTGTACATTCTCATCTACAATGTAAAAGTTTTGTTAAGAATAGTCATGCTTCTTTCTTTTGCACTCTCTATGGTGCTTCAGCATAACCTAGGTAAGCACTGCACGCTCAATAAATGATCTGCAGTTTAGATTATTAATGGGACTTGGATTATTTTACACAAGATAATTTGCTAAATCTACATTTCTGACAAACCAGATTTTTTTTCATCTAACAGAAGTTCCAATATTTTCACAAGCATTTTTGTTATTTCAAAAGTATATAATTATAAGTATGTGGGAAAAACTGTCTCACTAGAAAAATTGGTGAAACAATTACTCCTGAAAAATCTGTAGAGCTAATAGCTAATATAATTAAGATGGACAAAGAGCTGCACACCAATTGCAAACAAGGAGCAAAAGAAGTTCTCAGGGCTTGACCCATAAAATAGTGCTTATGCAAAATGACCAATATTCCCTCCCGCCTCAGTCCTTGCCATACCCAGGCCCCCTGCACTAAAGGGTTCAAGAAAGAAAGCTTCTAGAGAAGTAAAAATACATGACAAGAGCACAAGCCAGAATTTGGAAGGGGTTTCTACAAACTCCTACATCAGAAGATCAGGTTTCAGAAACACTGATCTAGGGACTTCCCTGGTGGTCCAGCGGTTAAGACTCTGTGCTTCCCCTGCACAGGGCGTGCAGTCGATAGGGGAAGTTCTGCATGCTGAGAGGTGCGGCCAGAAACAACAAAAACAACAACAGAAACACTGAGCTACAATTTGAAATCAGCTGAATCAAATTCCTTCATATTTCCTACTAACAATTCCTAATCCAAGAACAGCAGGCCATGACAAAAACCAGCCTTTAAGTCAGCAACCAAGGTTAGAAGAGTTATGTTACTAAACATACCTTCAAAATGTACATACCCTATGACTTCCAATTCCATTTCTAGAATTTATCCTGAGATTAAAATTCAACAAATATGCAAAATAATAGTGCATAAGAAAGTTCATCACCATCTTCTTCTAACAATGGAAAACCACTGAGAAACCTAAATGTTCAAAAACCGATGCATCTATAAGCCAAGGAATGACACGGATTGCCAGCAAACACCAGAAGCTAGAAGAAGCAAGGAAGGATCATTTCCCTACAGGTTTCAGAGAGAGCATGACCCTGCCAACACCTTTTCAGACTTCTGGACTCCATAACTGTGAGATAATAAATTCCTGTTGCTTTAAGACACCCAGTTTGTGGTACTTTGTAATGGAAGTCCTAGGAAACTAACACAGATTATAAATACAGTCAACTAAACTTTGACAAAGGAGCAAGGCAATGTCAATGGAGAAAGGATAGTCTTTTCAATAAACACTCCTGGAAGAAGTGGACAAAAGATTGAAACAGACACCTCACCAAAGAAAACATACAGATGACAAACAAGCATATGAAAAGATACTCAACATCACAGGGAATTGCAAATTCCTTTTAGAAGAGCTAAAATCCAAAAACATACCACCAAATGCTGGTGAAGATGAGTAGCAGGAAGAAGTCTAGAAGAACACGGACCAAAATGTTAGCAGTAGTTACGGCTATGGTAGTAGAATTACAGGTGGCTACTGATTATTTTGTTTTATGCTGAGAATAACATTAAGTTTTCTAATATAATGCAACACAGACATAAAAAATTTAAGTTTGCCCTAACTGACCTGACCATCACTGATCCACAAAGGACTGGACCTTTAATAGCACCTCACCAATCCACTACCAGGATTCCTCTGACCGCAAACACAGGGAATGCATTCCGCCTTGTAGGGTACACCAAAAGGTAACTTTAAAAATTGGGGGGGAGGGGGACGTCCCTGGTGGTCCAGTGGTTAAGACTCCACGCTCCCAATGCAGGGGGCCCAAGTCCGATCCCTGGTCAGGGAACTAGATCCCACATGCTGCAACTAAGACCCAGTGTGGCCAAATAAATAAATAAATATTTAAAAATTGGCAGGAGACGGGCTTCCCTGGTGGCGCAGTGGTTGAGAATCTGCCTGCCGATGCAGGGGACACGGGTTCGTGCCCTGGTCCGGGAAGATCCCACATGCTGCAGAGCAACTAAGCCCGTGAGCTACAACTACTGAGCCTGCACTCTAAAGCCCGTGAGTCACAACTACTGAAGCCTGCTCACCTAGAGCCTATGCTCCGCAGCAAGAGAAGCCACCGCAATGAGAAGCCCGCACACAGCAACAAAGACCCAATGTAGCCAAAAATAAATAAAATAAATTTTTTAAAGAAAATAACATGATCAAAGAGGGTTTATTCCAGGACAAAAAATGGTTTAATACTGAGAAATTCATTACATTAATAGAATAAAGGGGGGGCTAAAAACAGAAACTCTATGGTATCTTAAGATTTCAAAAACAGAAAAACGGTGGAAAATAAAGATTGAAAATTATAATTTTTTAAAGTTAAAATGGCTTAACAAAAAAGAAAGCTACAACACAACATCTACTCCCAGTAAAAACTCTTTGTAAATTACAAGGAACCTCCTTAGCATGAATGTACTAATTCATCAGAAACTATCAATACATGAGACATGGTAAAACACTAGAGGTAAAGCACTCAAGGCAAAAAAAAAAAAAAAAAGGCAAAAAAAAAGTCTCGCCGTCTGCACCATCATTCAACACTGTTCCAGAGTCCAGTATATGCAATAAGGAAAAAAAAGTATAAAGATTAGAAAGGATGAGGCAAAAAATTTAGTATCTGCACATTATATGCTTGCAAACTATAAAATCTAACAATCAACTAAAGAAATTTAAAATAAGATATTTAAAAGATCAATAAATTTCCTGTGCCAGCAACAATCATTCAGATAATAACACTGAATGCAATTCAATTTCAAAATCTCAGTGATACTTTATTTTTACTGGAACTTGACAGACTGCAAAACAACCTAGAGTAACTGAGAAAAATAAAGAAAATCTTAAAAAGAATGAGAGGCCTTGCGCTTCCTGATATTATCATAGATGTGAAAGATAACATTTAAATGTAATACTGGCAAATAAATGAGTACAAGATTAACAGAATCCAAGCAATTTCTGGAAAAGGTGGCATTTGAAATTAACCAAAAAATTAGCTACCCATTTGAAAAAAACAATTACTACTTCATACAAAAAGGTTCCAAGGGAATAAAAGCAAGCATGGCAAAGAGGCTTTAGCTCACTAAAAGCACTATATAAGATTCTAAATTTGTAACTATGCTGAACAAAAAAACAAGCAATATTTGACAATGCTTAATGGAAGGAAGAGAGGCAATGTCATATAATTACAATCCTTAGACTACTTTTTTTGGGGGGGGGTTCGCGGGCCCCTCACTGTTGTGCCCTCTCCCGTTGCGGAGCACAGGCTCTGGACGCGCAGGCTCAGCGGCCATGGCTCATGGACGTAGCCGCTCCGCGGCATGTGGGATCTTCGAGGACCGGGGCACGAACCTGTGTCCCCTGCATCGGCAGGTGGACTCTCAAACACTGCGCCACCAGGGAAGCCCAGATTACATTTTTAATATAAAATATATAACCACCCAAGTACTGGAAAAAAAAAATGCATGCTATTTTTTTTATAAGCTCAGGATGAAAAACACCTGTCCTTAACATGACACCAAAGTTACAAACCTTAATAAAACTGATGGATTTCACTACATAAAATGAAAAACATTCATATAGCAAAAGGTTTACCAGCAACATGGCCAAAGATTAATATCTTCACTAAAAGGGATGTGTTAAGAACTTTTAAAAATCAAAAAGACTTCATTAATTCAGTAGATTGGTATAATCTCTTTAGGAATTTTAACAATTCTACAAATTCGCATCTAAGAAGTGGTTCAAAGAAATAGTTCACATATATGTGTGTACAGAGCTGTTTTTGGATGCAGGGCTTTTTTGTTTTTAATGGCAAAAACCCAAATGTCTACCAATCAGGGATACATATATTATGGCACATCCATCCATATAAAGGAACACTATGTAGTCATTAGAAAAAGGTGAGGCAGAGCTATGTGTATGGACACTGAACTATGCCACGATAAACTATTAACAGTGCTTTTCTCTGAGGAGGTGGAATTACAGGAAGAGTCCACCTTGTTTATATTGTTTTTACCTTTTTTATAATGTGCATATATTATCAAAAAAAGAGGGGGTAGGGATATTTCCCTCAAAAAAACTAAAAACTCATGAACAATTACAAGAAAAAAATGTGTTGACAATATTTTTTTGATTTTCTTACTGATTCAGGAAAATTATGCCTTAAATTACAAAAATGTTCACTCCTTTAATCAGGGAAAAAAAGAACACATTTCCACACTTACATTATTAGCTGGTTGCTCTCAGCAGCAATGTCTGTGTCTTCACTGAGTTCCAATCTATTACGCCTGTAGGTCGAACCAACACTCAATCCATGAATTAATAATAATGAGGCAGAAAGAATTTTCCTCCTCACATTGCCAAGGAAACCTCTCAGCCACAATTCAAACACAGGGCGTGTTTTTAAAACATCTCCCAACTACTGAGAGATTTAAGTCCATTCAAACAACCTTTGTCAAACTGGAGACAGCTAGGGTTAGTTATCTCCTCAACAAAAAAACAACAAAAAAGAGTTCATATAAAGATGAACTTGAGATTCAAAGAATTATTAAAAAAAAAAAAAGATCCATCTTCCATAGCCGAACAATTAATTTAAAAAGAAAAAAGAAAAAGAACACCAAAATTCAATAAGATCCAATTTCTGGTCTTCAAGATTTCTTCACCTATTAAGAAAAAAACAGAAACCTTCCCCCATCTTTATTATCTGTATAATAAAAACATACTTGTATGTAAAAATATAAAGTGTTTTATGTATAATATACATATACATATATACTAACTGGCTTATACACACACACACACACACACACATACACAAATGTGTAGAAATAAAACATTTGGGTAAGTTTTCCCTTTTAAAATACACTACAAAAGCTTTTAAATTTGGGTTCATTATAAAAATAGTGAACTTCCTCTTCTACCAAAGTATCATGAAGTATATTAATATGTTACACTAAATTTTGCCCAGCCCACAAAATAAAGATGAAGGGAAATCCTTACACATATATCGATGTGTACAATGTGGATGTATATATATCATCACATCATCTTTTATCACCTTCAGGGAGTGTTTAACCAAAAAAGATAGAAATGTATAGTTATAGAGTAACTACAGAGCGGTGCAGCAAGCTGTAGAAGGCAGAGCAGCATTATAGTCATCCTGAACTGGCACTGTCAAAATTACAGAAAGCTTCTATCTAATAAGGGAAGATGTTTTCCTTCTGTTATAGCAACACCAGTGTCACCGGCATGACATTCAATGGTGGCCCTGCAAAGGCTTGCTTATGCAGCCTAGTTCCAAATTCTTTACTAGTGATGGCTTCAACTAAAGACTTTATAATTATCCATTTACTCCAGTTAGTAAAAGGGTAAACTTTTGGAGTTGAAATTTCATTTCACAATGGTACATTTACCATTTAAGAATTTCAAAAAAACGAAAAACAAAAACAAAAAACAATTTTGATACATAGAAATGAGTTCTAAATTTTGAACCAGCCCAGTAACAAAGCAATTTTGATTCTCACGTAATAAATACTACATAATTTCTAGGCTAAATCTTGCCAAATACTACCCAAGACAAAACTAAAATCAAAACTTAAAAAAAAGTGGACACCTTTTACTCACACTTAATACTAGTCAATTTTCCAGGAAATTTTTGGGCAGGGAATATCCCCAAATCTAAAATGAAAAAAAGGAAAAATTGGGATCTTACATTAGTTATTCAGTCTGAAACTTTTAATAGACTTTTACTAAAAGTCATCATTTATGGCCTCCCACTCAATCACAAAAACATACTTCCAGAGTGGAAAGGGACAAGATCAATTGAGATCAATTCTCTCATTTTACCAGTGAGGCAATGATTCCTAACACATGAAAATATTGACTGCTTATTTTTAAATAAGAATTAAGGCCAAAATAATCTCATAGTTAAGAATACAGTATTATGGATCATTCAGTATAATTTTTAAATGACATTTAAGATCACTTAATATCAGAGAAACATTCTGTGGGAAAGGGATACTGGTTTGTCACAGTATACTCATGGGGCTTTCATTCCAATTTCCATTCAATCTTTTTCAATTCTGTAAACTTTCTGTCATTTACCCATAAATAATATAAAAGTAGCTAATCTTTGTTTTTACAATAAAAGTTAAAAAGGGCAATTCAAAGACTAAAAGTAATTTCTTCCTAATTGTTTTCTAATGTTTTCTCTATATATAGACCCAATCTTAAATATAAAGGGCAACTCTATCACACTCAGTAAGTTGAAATTATAACGCTGACCAGTATGAGGAGGCAATTAGGAATTCCTAAATATAAAACAATTTTGTGAACTTTGTTTTTGCCAAGCTGTAAGTATGAATCAGGGTTTTTAAAGAAATAGAAAAATGGTGGTGATGGGGAGAGATACCAGTTTAGTATGCTTTTTCTCTATTTCATTGGTTTCAGAGCAATCAAACCTCCCAGGTTGAGAGAAATTTTTACTTAAAACCAATTACTAGTTCAATCTACCAGCCAGAAATAGCCTAAGGCTTTTCAATGCTGCACTATATTTTTTTAATTAAAAAAGTCTTTTTTTCTCTCAATTGGTATAAACAAAATTTCAAGTGACAGCTACACTGAGTTACTACTATGAAATCTTTAATCTTCACTTTGTCAACATTATATTACCCCTGAGGAATTTTCAGCCCTTTCTGTGTTTTCAGGTTTCCCCAGATTGTGCATAAAGAATAATTAGTATAACTGTATACAACAATTATAGCAATTAGGACACAGTAACATAGCAATAAGTTGCCCATTTTAAATGGAGAAAGGAAAAAGAAATTAAGATAATATTTCTTTTTCATTGCTTTGAATAACTTCATTCTCAGGATCCCAGCTCAGAACCAATGAAGAATAATCATAGTTAACATTTTTCAAGTTCATTTTCAGAAACATCAGCTGTTCTATATTGTCAAAGTCCAGGCTCATGATCTGCTTTGGATGAAAGTGGCTATTTGCAGTAAAGATACATTCAGACTGCCAACTACACATGGGGCAGCTCAGATACTGAATGGCAACTTGGGTCAAAGCTGGCCATACGCTCACCTTCTTCTGCCAGTAAATCAAAGGGTCATCACCTCCTGAGGTCTCTGAATACTTCTCTTTGAAGTATTCATCCACTACTGCCATAGCAGAAGGAAACATGAAGCTTTTGCCTCCAATGGCAACATTATCTGCAGCTGAACTATCAACAGACCCTGAACTGGAGGTGCCTTCTCTTATAGATGAGGTAAATGAATCAGCTCCTACTATGGCTGAGGAACCAGAAGCTTCTGAAGTTGCAATATGGCAGACCTCTGATGAAGATTCCATATAGTTACAAACTTCTTCTGCAAGGATCTGCTTGTAAGTTTCCAAATGTGCACCTTGAGGGAAAAAGTCTTCCAAACTGTTTTTAAAGCAAGGGTCTAACAAAGCAGCCAAGATACAGGGCCTGGATTTGAGCATGGCACTTAATAGGGTATCAGTTTCAAGTTTCAGAGATAAACTGTCTACCAGATTGAGGGCCTGAGTAATACCTCTAACTTGAAAACCTTCTCTGAGTTTCTGCAGGGAAAGGAGTAGATGATGGATTAGGGGTAGCACCTGATTCAATCCTGTGGTCTTCACACTCACTTTCTGGGTGGCCTCCTCAAATGGTTTAAGAATATCACAAACATACGTCATTAGAGTCCACTGAAGGGAGGTGAGCACAACTCCACTGGCTCTACCAAGACTATGGTGAACTGAGTAACAATGCTCCAAGAGCCATTTTAACATATAAAAGGTAGAAATCCAATGGCCAGCTTCATCCTGCTTCAAATTTTTCCATGGAAGTTGGTGATCATTTTGGAATTCTTGTAGTATCTGACGGGCCTTGACTGAATGACTAAAATGATGACAGGTTTTCCTAGCAGCCACTAACATGTTCTCAATGCTTTTGTGCTCACAGAAAAAGTCTTGAATGACTGTATTTAAACAATGCAGAAAGCATGGCACATGGGTAAAACCACCATCTTTGATTGCATGTACTACATTAGAAGAATTGTCAGAAACGATGAAGCTAGGGATGAGGAAATTAGGAGAAAGCCACAGACCAATCTGGTCACTTAATTCTTGTAAAATGTTGGTTATCAAACAGTCTTTGGCCAAACCTGTTACACAGAGAACTGCCCACTTTCTAAAATTGGGGATCCTGCCATTACTGGAAGAAGGTGTAGTTTGCAAAGAGACCCAGTGTACAGTCACAATGAAATAGTCAGTGGATGGGTCATGGGTCCATATGTCCACAGTCAGGTGGATCTTTTGGCTTTGAACATTCTCCAAAGTTAAGAAAATTTTTTCTCTGACCCAATCATATAATTGAGGCACAGCCTTAGTGAAAAAGTAAGTTTCAGATGGTAACCTATAGTCAGGGGCCACAATCTGCATGAACCTCTGAAAGGCTGGAGTTGAGAAATAGTTGTAAGGATGCATATCTTCCACAATCATTTGAATAATTGCTTGACTTATTTGACTTGAGGTTGAATTTTCACAATATGTTGTTTCTTGTTCCTGTGCATGCATTAGAGTGTCTTGCTCTGCAACAGGAATAGGACTCTCAGATCTTCTATTTTCAACCTCTAATACAGGAGGTTCATCTGAATCAGAGTCACTAAGGTCCTCAGCTGTTACATCCTGGCTGCCTGTAGACTTCTCTCCAGGCAAAGTATCACTCAAGAGATCATTTCTCTCAGTCTCAGCTTCATCTAATCCATTTCCAACTGCACCACTGTCTTTGTTGGCAACTGCCCAATGGATGGGATGTGTGGCCTGCAGGTGTCGTTGAAGTGTCGAAGTTCCTAAGTGAGAACCCGGCCTACCCCGGCTCACACTTCTTTTACATATATTACAGACAGCTCTTGAGATGTGCTGAGGATCAGTATAGAAAAAATTCCAAACTGCAGATGTCTTGGCTCTTGTTCCAGGAATTAAGGTATGCTTGACAATGTTACTTTTGATGAGAAATCTCCCTCTTTCTGCCTTCAGGGCATCAGATACTGATTTATCACGTTTCTTCCCCATTCCATTATTATCCAATGGATCAGTAGGGATATATTCAAAGCTTCCACTGCTTCCCGCGGAAGAGGGAGATAAAGGTACATCCAAAGTAAAATCCTCCTCCCCACTAGTAACTCCAAATTTGTTTGCCCTGGTCCAGTGAGGTGAATGCCTTGCCTGCAGATGTCGCTGAAGAGTAGATGTCCCGAGATGGCTACCTGGTTTACCCCTGCTAACACTTTTTTCACAGAGGTTACAAATAGCCCGCCAGGTGTACTGGGGGTCAACATGAAAGAAGTGCCACACGATGGAGGTCTTGGCTCTAGTACTAGGTAAATAGATCTGTTTTTCTATATTGCTCTCAAAAAGACTTTCTTCATCCTGCTCAGGGGCATTGGAAGCCAACAAAGCAGGGGCATCTGCAACTGGCCTCCCAGATACCAAATCCTTACTAAACTTTTTCGCAAGGATCAGTTTCTTTCGTCGCCTTTTCCCCTTAATTCGCAAACCCTTCTTTCTTTTCTTTTTCGCGGGCAATTTTGCCTCTTTATCCAGTCCTTCTGCCACCATCTTTCCCTCTACCACATCTTCATCTGTATTAGACGTAATAGGAACACATCCCAGAATCCCAGCACCACTAAAAGTGCTACATCTTCTGCCAGGAGAGAGTGAGGAAACTGGTACACTTAAGGCACATACACTCATTCTTTTTATGTCTCTGAAATTCGTACCAGAATCTATTGGTGGGTTTACTCCTCAAACAGATATACAGCTGTTCCTCTCTACTTGCATTACCTTTTCTCCAATTTCTATGGGGAGTCAAATTTCCGTTGGACCAATGACTTCCAAACCAGGTTATTTTTGGAGGAAAAATGACAGCAATGGAGAACATTCCCAAACGCTTTCACAGAGGGCTTTAAGATCCCTTCCAACTTTCTGAGTTCTGAATTCAAACAGTCCAATTTACTCATGTTACAGGAAAAAGAACTGAGGCCTACTTTCCCAGAGTAATAGAGTTGATCAGTAGCAGCTAGAAACCAGGTCTTCCAAATCCCAGGTTCATGTTCTTTCTGCTTCAAGAACTATACCTGCTTGAAATGTCTTCAGTTTTTAAAATATGTATTTTGTATGCTGCCTCATGATAGCAACATCAATTTCCCTTAATTCTTAAGTTAATTATTCTCAGTAAATTTCATTTAAACAAAAACATAGTGCATCATTCAACATTCATCGTTTAGGACTGTGATTTGGCAATAAAACCCAAAATGTCAATTCTGGAAAGCTAAATCAGACTCCACATACTGGTCATTAACAGCAAATTCTAGTTGAGGCCTTTCAACTCTAATTAAAAGTAACACAATTTTTTTAAAATGTGGGTACCTAAAAAAAATGCTTTGGGAGTAAAATTTTTAAATTTTACTCAGAAGCTGAATTTTCAATTTACTGTTCGTATGGAGAGTTAATCCATGCTTGGTTTTCAAACATTTTTAGTCTGGAGAAGCATTACAGCCTGTAAATGAGTAACTCCTAGGTTGGACTCTATATGAGCAGCAAAAACTGAAATATTAGCTTTAAACCACTTCCATGCCTTCTCGGTTGATCCCTCCCCTTCCCCCAATACCTACATACATTTACCCTAAAAAGCATCGCTATCACTAGTTCAGCCTCCTTCTCAAGGTCCAGAACCAAGGCCTGGAAGATGTCAACAATATGGGCCTTCCCCATAGGAATCCGCACCGATTATGGGAGTTTAGGGGGTGTTCTTCATTACGGTTTCATCAGTCCTACAAGGAGAACGGAAGTGTCCCTGTTGCTCTTGACTCCGATGCTGAGGGCTGGGAGTGGGAAGTGTAATTAAGGTAGGGAAGGGGTGTAGGATACCGGAATAAGGTCGGTGGCTTTCTGTGTGTGGAGTTTGAGAAAATCTCCCAAGTAGTGGGACCCTGGAGAGGAATGAGAGTAGGTAAAATCAGCTCCTGGCACTCAATTTGACTTAGGCAGCGGGGGTCCGCTCAACTACGGAAACTGTTGCCCCCAAAGAAAGCAATCTAGTGTCAGTTCTCCTCTGGGAGTAGGGAAACAAGTCGGCTTCCTGGGGCTGCTCCGGGCTCCTACAGTTTCACCAACACCGGATGTGGGGGAGGGGAAGAAGGTTCGTTGGGAAAAGGAGCAGGCGCCGTGGGGGTGGGGTGGGGTGAAGTGGGGTGGGGGTGGGGTGGATGGGAGCGGGAGCCTGGGGCTCCCAGCCCGCCCCGGCGACGGCAGCGGCCGGGAGGTGGGGGAGGGGGTCGTTACCGCGGGGCCGAAGGACCCGCTCTGACTTCCCGGGCTAGGCCGCGACCCAGGGGCGAGGGGAGGCCGTGGCCACTCCCCTCGCCCTCTCCCCCACCTCCCCGGTCCCAAGCCACCCGGGAAGCAAAAAACGGGTCTAGTTACCAGAGAACAGAAACTTTACCGAACCGTCGACACTATCCCCGACTCCCGTTTGCTGCCACGTCTTTCTTCTTTCTTAGCCGCTGCCGCCCGCCGTCCTCTCAGCAGCAACAGCAGCAGAAACCCAACACTGCCAGAGTCAAAGATGGCGCCCAGCTACAGGCTCAGCTCTAAGACCCGGCCACTAAAAGTGCCAGCACGACGCAAAGCGCAAAGGTTCTGGGAGATGTAGTTTCCTCTATGAGGCGCGGCTTAAGATGGCTTCCCCGGGTAAGAGAGGGTCACGTGAGAGGAGAGGCGATAAACTGGTGGCGTCCCTTCCTTTATAAAGCACGCGTTTTAGAAAGTTACGGGTGTTTTGAAACCGTCTTTGATTTAAAAAAAAATTTTTAATCAAATTCACGTAATAAGCGAGGAAATCGCGAGAATTGTCTCTACCAGACAGTGGGCGCTCAGTTTATTCTCACCAGAGTGTTTGCTTAATGAATAAATCGTCCAAATCCTGTGTTAATTTGATTTAGAAATAAACTACTTTTTTCTTGCAATGTTGAAGGATTTGTGCATTTATTTTTATTTGAAGAAGTGAAATGGGTTTGAGGGAAGTTTCTTTTATTTCTTAAAACAAATTTTCGTTTTGGAAAAACAATTCATGCTCATTAAGAAGTTGACAAGGATTGAGACGTGAAAAGGAAAAAGATCACTTGCCTACCCACTTCATTATTGATATTAGCCTGTATTTTCCCACTTGAATGTCTTTCCTTTTTTCCCCCGATTATAAAGTAATGCATGAGTTTTTTTTAAAGGTAATAATAGAGAAATGTAAACGTAGAAAGTTTAAATCTGCGTTAACCTCATTCCTGAGAAATAATCTCTCATTAATTTAACATGTATTCTTGCTAACTTTTTTGTATGCAAATATACTTAAATATATTGCACTGATACAGCAGGAGCCCAAGATACCCCCTGGGTTATAGGCTCAACAGAACTTGGATAAAGGATCCATTTCTGCTACTAAGAAAGGATACACTTGATGGTAAAGCTGATGGGATTCCAGGCCTCTTTTATTTCCTCTTGGGCTTGTTTCCCCACCTGCCAGCCTAGTGAGAGCGTCCCAGCCAATCCAGACGGGTGAGTCTCTTCACACTTGAGCTGCTATCTCCTTTTAAAGTGAGAAGCCACAGCATTAGAATCGTAGCACCAATCCCTGTATAACATAACAATACTCTGTTGCCATGTCAACCAGCCCTACAAGTAGGTTCTTGGTAACCAGTTTCTGTCTATGCCACAACACCTAGGGTTTTTCAGTTTAACAGAAGGCTTTCCAAACAGCTGAAATGTTTTCCAGACTAGGACTTTCAAGCCGCATCCAAGACCTAATACGTAACCAAACTGTAGTTTCGGCCTCTCCCAGGAGGGAAATTTTAATTTCCTGGTCAGCACTAGTGAGGCAATCTGCCTGATAAGATTCCCCCCTACCTTTCTCTAAGAAAGGGTAAATTTCCCCAAAAGAATCCACTTTTAACTTCCTTGTCCCACCTGCTTTCTGCCTGTAAAAACCTTCCATTTTATACAACTCCCTCCTTCTATTTGTTAGATGGGATGCTGCCTGGTTCATGAAACGTTGAATAAAGCCAATTTCATCTTTAAATGTACTCGGCTCAAGATTTGTTCTTTAACAATAGTTATATTTAATCAAATCTAAGGTATCATTGATTATAGCGTGCATCTTATTTTACAGGCCTCTAAAAGAAAAAACTGCCGCTTAAACTCTGACAGGCCATTGATCAGAGATATTAAAATTTGATAGGATGTTCATCTCAGAATGAATGAAATACAGTAATTTCAGGATAAGAACAGGCTAAAACTATGCATATTGCTTTGCAACTTGCTTTTTTTCTTCCACTTTACCATTTATCTTGAGTATCTTTTAATGGTCATCAGTGCTTAGAGGCCTACCATATTCTTTTTAACAGCTCTCATACCATGGTAAGGCTGTTTTGCAGTAAATTTCACAAGTTCCTTTTTGATGGAAATAATCCTGTTTCCGTCTCCATTAGTCTCTCCCAAGGGGGAAAAGAGAAATAATGGAGTAATAGGGACACTGAAGAATGCAGAAGTTAAAAGCCTCTGGCTATTAAAAAGAGGGAGAACTAGTTAGGAAATCCTCTGAAGTCCAGGTGGGAACCCACATGGGGATCCCCCCACCCCACCCCATATATACAAACAGAATTCTCAGGGGTGGATGTGGGCTTGCCCCTTGTTTGTTAAAAGGGGATAAATTATCTAGGCCAAGGGCACAATGCCAGATTTTCCCTACTCACACCCCACCTTGATTCTAAATGAATTTCAAACAATCTTTAGACCTCTTCAGTAAGTAATTGACAAAACATTTTACCATGTGCAATGTGAGAGCAAAGGTTTTGTAGAGCCCTCTAGAAAAATAATGCAAAATTATTGAGAATTGATTCAAAAGTGAATATTTAGACTAGGAAAGGAAATCACAATAAATTACACATAAAAAAATCTTGTACTATATATATTACAAACTCAAAAAAGTCATACTTTTTTTTAACCAATAAACTATAATCCTCTATAATAGACTTTTCTATATATTTAGCTGCATAGTTTTTGATTGCCTCTTCATATGACAATCTTGTAATATTTCTATAAAAAGAATAAAAAATACATCAGTCTTCCCTCTGGAATTTTTAATAAAAATAGTTTTATCAATGATAGTTTAGAAAAGTCTCTTATTTCACAGCTTATTGGTCAAATTGGTGAAAATTATAGATTTGTTGTCAAATTTAGGGAAACTTCCATCAAGTTTCTTACATATGTAAGCACTAAGACTTCATAGAATATTGAATTATTTAATATATTCTTGACCAGGAGAGAACAATCACTTTTGCTAGATATATTAGTTATCTATTGCTACATAATAAATTATCCCTAAATTTACTGGCTTAAAACAATGAACATTTATCACCTCACAGTTTCTGTGGGTCAGGAATTCAGGAGCAGTTTAGCTGGGTGGTTCTTGCTCAGGTTCTCTCATGAGATGGTAATCAAGTTGTTGGCCATCTCTACAAGTCATCTGAAGGCTTGACTGGGGCTAGAGGATCCATTTCCAAGCTCTCTCATATAGACCTCAGTTTCTTACCATGTGGACCTCTCCACGGGGCTGCTCAGGATTTTTCCAAACATTAGTTTCTGGTTACATAAATTTCAAACCTTGTCTCTCCTCCACAATGTACATGCCACTTATATCAAGATATGACCTCTGGCCCTACAACTTTGGGTCATAATGCCAGATGAGTCTACATAGCAGGTAATAGGGGTATTGTTGAAAGCCATTTCTACACCTAAATGTCTGGCAATAACTTAACTCTAAGTGACTGTACACCACATAAATAAAACCCAAAATATTTGTATCCCAACTCAACTTCCTCTTAGCAGGATCCCAAAAATGTCCAACAAGGGGAAGGTATTGGAGAGAGAGTCTGAGTGAAAAGAAACAAGGATCTTAGTCATTGCTATGAAAATATCTTACTTATGGAATTTTATGATAACCACATGAGCATATTGCTAAGGCCTTGCCCAGAGCCTTGAAGGGGGCTTGTGCAAGTAGGGGGCCTGAAGGTTAAACTTCTTTAGCTTCATGTTAAATCTTCCTCTCTTGGTATAGTATGTTGACTGTGGAGCCATATGATCTAGATTCAAATCCTGGCCTGTCCCTCCTCTGAAGCTCTAGCCAACTCTGTGGGCTCCACAAGTTGGCAGTAGCCCTCTTTTTGTACTTCCCACATTAGAGAACAGAATGGGAGGGGAACTACCACATGAGTAGCTAGTCCCTTCTCTGACCCAGTGTCCATCACCACTATCCATCAACCTTCCTCTTTTTCTTCCTGCCTTTGGGTCTCAAATGTCTGACATGAGTAAGGAAATAGGAACCAACAGAGTCTCCTAGCGAGGAGCCTTGCACAGGAGTCACAAATACCTGTTAACTGCAATGGATAAATTAAAAACTTCTTGCTCTAGCTGCAAGACCAGAGCTGGTATCACTGAAATCAACCTTCCTAGGACTGCCTTCCCCTCTTCACTCCCAGTGCTTTTCTTATTTCCTTATATAGAATTTTTTCCTTGGTATTTAATTTTGGAGTGGGGTAACTGTAGTTCTGTTGGGTGATGGGTTAGTTAAGAAAAAGCAGATTAGGTTCTCATTCCCGTTTATCTTATACTAAGTATTCTTCTATGTTTAGGTTGCTGTGCTAGGCATTGTGAGGAATCCCAAATAGGCATAATATGTGGAATTGCCCATGTGGAACTTTTCCAGAAGACATGATAAACGTAAAGATAAGTAACTGCCATGTACTGTACATCAAGTGTCCAGCTACAGTTTAGACCTGGGATTACAAACTCAAATGCTTACGTGAGCCAGGCTCGTGTGTATATGAGAATGATGAGCCAGGTGTAAGAAGAAAACTCGAGGGACTTCCCTGGTGGTCCAGTGGTTAAGAATCCACCTTCCAATGCAAGGGACGTGGGTTCGACCCCTGGTCAGGGACCTAAGATCCGACATGCCGTGGGGCAACTAAGCCCACGTGCTACAACTACTGAGCTCGTGAACTCTGGAGCCTGTGTGCCACAACTAGAGAAGCACGTGCACCGCAATGAAGAGCCCGTGCACTGTAATGAAAAGATCCCGCATGCAGCAATGAAGATCCTGCATGCCGCAAATAAGACCTGACGCAGCCAAGTAAGTAAATAAATAAATAAATAATTTTAAAATTATTTTAAAAAAAAGAATAAAACTTGAGAATGCATGCCCTAGCTAAAGGTCCCACTGTTACATTCAACTCCAGCCTAGACTTGCCAGGTGGGAATGCCTGATTTTTCAATAGAAGCCAGGAACTCAGATTTTTATGTGAAAATTTATGATTGAGCTGATTCAAATGAAACAAACAAAAAAATCACTTCATGGCCTGGCCTGCAACTCTACTTTAGTTCTAGAAAGGAAGAGGTGGTCATTGAAAAGTGCAGTGTTCCAGGAAATACTTCCTGGAGGGAGTGAGACCTAAGCTGACCTTAAACTATGACAGAGTGAGAGGTAAGTGAAGACTAT